CCATACCCCCAAAGAATCTGGACAAGTTTTATACCTCTCACAAAAATTAACCCCAAATGGGTCAGAGACCTCGCCTCGTTGTAAAACATTTAAAAGTCATAAATATTATAGCTATTTAGATGGTCTAGAATTTGATGACTATTTAGATAGGAGGCCAAAAGAAGCAATAAGCTAGGCTTCATTGAAATGAAATGTTTCTAAGTTCGAGTGTGATGCTACAGTCCTGCTGTAATCTCTGTCAGCACTAAGGAAGCTGAGGCAGGAGGTGTATGAGGTACAGAGTGGCTACATAGTGAGATCTTGCTTCAAAAAGAAAGAAAACACTAAAGTTTTTTTGACTGTGGAAGATGCTATCAACAAGCCACAAGTAGAGAGGAGATATTTGCAAAAGATACACCTTATAAAGAACAGTTAAACAAAATACACTAACAATTTTTAAAATGTAGCCATAAGTAACAACCTGGTTGGAAATTAGATCTAGACTGGTAAGATAGGTCCCCAGGAAAGGATGTGTGTCACATGCAATGGAATATAATTCAGGCTGAGAAATGTAGATTATTATTCTACAATGGGCATGAATTTTGAAGACATTATGCTAAGTGAAGTAAGATACAAGAAAACACATTTTATGATTATTGTATTCAGAAAATAGGTTTCTATATAGAGAATAAAGAGACCCATGGTTTCTGAGGAGCCAGCGACCATGAAAATAGCAAATGACTGTTTAATAGATACAGGGTTTCCTTTTGGGATGATGAAAACATTTTGGAACCACATAGGAGGGTTGATGCTCAGTATCCTATGTTGCCAGGGAAAAGCAAATCAAAATCAAAACAGTGAGATACTGCACACCCATCAAAATGGCCAAAATCCAGAACCTTGATGCCACCAAATGCTGGTGAAGGCATGGAGCAACAAGGGCTCTGGCTCATTGCTGGCAGGAATTCAAATTGGCTTAGCCACATTGGAAGTGGTTTGTTAGTACCTATCACACCGTTTTCCTTCACTCCAACTCTCCTGCTCCTGTGTTTACACCGAGGAGTACAAACTTAATGTTCACACAAAAGACAGGATACGGTTGTTCATAGCCTTTATTTATGATTGCCCAGGTTGGAAGCAACCAAAATGTCCTTCCACTGGATGAATGGATAAACTGTGGTACATTCAGGCAGTGACAGCATGTAGTAAAAAGAAATGAGCTATGAAGCCATGGAAAGACATGGAGGAAACATGTATTAGTAAGTAAAAGAAGCTGGTGTGGTAAGGCTAGACCCCACCTGATTCTAACTATCAGACATTCATAATGGGAAATGATGGGGTCAGTTTACAAATTCAGTGGTAACCAGGAGTTGAGGGACAGGAAGATGAATACCTGGTTTCAGAGCATTATTGGGGTAAGAAATCGTAGCTGTGTTATGGTACTGGTAAACTTGACTGGCTGGAAATGATACGCCTGTGTAGGTTCAGAGCAGCAAATGGAGCTTTCTTGTGTAGTGGCTAAAATATATTTTGAGGATGAAGTTTAAACCAACTGATTTAAATGTGTGCTGAGGCCAGGGCTTGTCCATGGATGGGGCAAGGAGCATATGGGAAGTCTCTACCTCCCTCACTGCTAAGAACCTGCAAGTCCTCTGAAAAATAATAAAATCTCTATATATTAGTTCATTCCAACTTCCGTTAATTTTGTCATTTACTAGTATTGTAAAGAACTAAATCATGACATTTTCAGGGAAAGGGATAAAATTGGAAATCCTTATGTTAGTGATATAAGCTAGACCAAATACTTATAGAATCCATATATGAGAGGAGGGGTAGAAAGGGGAATCAGGAAGGGAGATGGATACATCTTAAAGGAGAGGGTAAGAATTTGAGTGACAGGAAAGCAAAGGGAAGACCAGGAGATGGAAAGGAACCAGCTGGTTGGTTGGTCAGAGGGGGCAGGGAGCAGAGGGAAGGTCAGTTGGGAAGGAGAAGAATCAGAGTAGATGATGACACTACAGGAAGGCCCATGATGAAACCCAGGAGTTTGCACTCTAACTTTGAGAACTAATATGATGATGCAATGGCTAAAAAGTACTTTGAGATGAAGTTTAAATGAACTCTTTTCCGAATGAAGTCCCTCCTGAAGAAGGCCTGCGCTCAGCACAGTTTGAAAAGCACTTCCCTGCTCTTATGCATTTGAACACTGCCTGCAGCTGCTGCAGAGCAGAGTACAGAACAACTCTGTGTGCTTCACAGCTCTCATTCTTAGGCAGGTCCTTACACTGTGTTAAAACCTCCATGAAACCCTGTGGTCCCCGTGCTTGCCTCAACCTGACCAGTGTCACAGAGGATGGGACGATGTGTTCCCACGTGGGATTGTTCTCTCCCCTGAATGCCCCTTCCCCAGCTATTCCTCTAATGGCAGGTTTGCATGTTTCATTTGCCCCTTTCTGAGCATCCTGCCACTGCCCGTGACTCCCTTGAAAGGTGGATGTAGCAAAATCCCCATATGTGCTTTTACAGTTGCTGAATATTTAGGAACATAGCATAATGCATTTAGCCAGCACCTGTAGGGAAGCTTCAGTTTTGTTTCCAATCTTTTGTTGGAATGGTGCCATGAACAACGCTGCAGCGTCTGTCATCTCACAGGTGTCTAAAGAGGGACTTCCTAGAGAAGGAGTAGTCAGGGCAGAGGTTGAGCATTTGACATCTTACTAAATGTTGCCAGGTTGTTTTCTCCTCCCTCCTTCCCTCCCTGCCTCTCTCCCTTCCTACCTTCTTCCCTCCCTCCCTCCTCCCTGCCTGCCTCCTCCCTTCCTCCCTCCTTGCCCTCTCTCCTTCCCTTTTCTTCCTCCCTCTCTCTCTCTCTCTTTTGGAGACAGGGTTTCTATATATATCTCTGGCTGTCCTGGAACTTGCTTTGTAGACCAGGCTAGCCTCAAACTCAGAGGTCCACCTGCTAGGATTGAAGGCATATTTTGGGATTAAATGTGTGTGCCACCACAGCAGACACCATATTGCTTTCTATGGGACTTATTCCTTTTGGACTTTTTTGTAGAAGACAGTGGAGTGTCTCTTCTTCCTGGTGACTCTAATACAGTGCACTATGGAGTCTGAATCTTGACAAGTGAATACGGAAGAGAAGTGAGATCTTATTTCAATCTAATTTGCATTTCTCTTCGTTTAAGGAGAAACTGGGCATCCTTTTTCTAAGTTATTTTAAGACACAGCCCTCGCCAGAAGTACTGCGGGGCCCTAGACCCAGGTTTTTCATTGGTTTAACTGGGCTCCTTCATGCTCCTTTTCAGCCTGAAAAGCTTTCTGTTCTGGTTTGTTGTGTATGTCTTCATTTTCTCTTTTCTATGGACTCTTTCCTCTCTTTGTTGACTTTGTAGTTTGGATTTTATCCTTTCTTATTTTGTTAAAATGTTCAGTCAGGTGGCATTTGCTATTTGCCATACCTGTACTAAGAGCAAAGCTTAATGTAAATGCAGACTTCTGGTCAGTGAGTGTCTGAGAGCTTATCAGTTGTAACAAACCCTCCACTGTGCAGGGGATATTAGTAGTGCGGGAGGCTGAGGAGGTGTGAAGCTCTATGAGATTGTCCCCTTACACCCAGGGACCTAAAACTGCTTTAAGAGGTTGATTTTAAAGGGAAAAAAATTAGCAGTCATGTTTTCGTTTTTTTGTCTATTTTTGCAAAGATTCTTTTTTATGCCTGCAAGTATCATATCATCCCGAGCCATATCTGGGTGGACAAGCAGCACTGTCTAAACGCTCCCTCTGCTTCTGGGACATGAACCCTATGTGGCTGTGTTCAGGCTGTCAACAAAAAGCTGACTGAGAGCCCTGAGGAAGTAGGGCAGCCTGTGAGCTCACAGTCACACCAGGGGGCCCTCTTCCCAGTAAGTGAAGGTCTGGCTTTCTGGGCACTAGTACTTGGTGTGTGGTCTATCCAAGCTCTCTGTGGGTTGTTTCATTTCTCTCTCTGGTCTCTTGTCTGGGAAATTAAGTCAAGTCGTGGCTGCTAAGCATTTTGTCTGGGGGATTTTAGAGGAAGGCAGAACCTGACTCATGTGCACGCCTTTAAACCATTCAGCTTTTTATCTTTGCCTTTTAGCTCTGCCCTGATCAACCACACAATTTTAGTCTGTATTTTTCCCATACTGTGCTCATTGCCTGCCCCCACCCCCAACACTATTAAATGTAGTTTTAGTGGTTTGCAAAGATCTGTCCTGGGAGATGTAGATGGTTTTTGAAGAGAAATATACTGACAAAAAAGACAGTGGTAGAATATTCACTGTAGTCTGTTTAGCTGTTTAGCTAGCCACCCTCTACTCTGATCTGTATTTTGTTCTGTTTGGTTTTGGGCACTGACACAAACTGTAAAACTGAAGTCAGGATATAATTTCACCAGGTGTTCAGGGAACCTCCACACGTTTTAAGAATAGACAGCTTAAAAAATTTGAAACCCCTCTTTCCCACCCTAATTATTTTCAGTTTTTTCTCCAGATATGTAGTGAGTAGTTTGGTTTGGTAGTTAGTTCTTTTTCCACGTGAGGTGGTGATAGTTACAAATGTTATAAAATAGACTGATATCATTACTTTCATTCAGATGTTGAATATGATTATAATCACTAAAAAAGAAAAAAGCCAGGTGGTGGTGGCTCACGTCTTTATTCCCAGAACTCTGGCGGCAGAGGCAGAAGGATCTCTGTGAGTTCGAGGCCAGCCTGGTCTACAGAGTGAGTTTCAGAACAGGCTGCCCTCTACACAAAGAAACCCTCTCTCAAAAAACCAAAGTGGGGGGGGGGTAGAGAGAGAGAGAGAGTGAATAAATAATCTAATCATCTCCTTTGTGTAGTGAGGGATACTGTAGTCTGACTGTTCTGATAAAACTCAATGGTTAATGATATTCCAATTTCTTTGAAATCTCTCACAAAAACAAAGAGTCTATGATTCCTTGAGGAACTATGTTCTAGATGCACATAAAGACATCTTATCTCTTTAAAAAATAGGAGCAGATGTCTCAAGTGTTAGATGCCATGTTTGAAAAATTGGTCAAAGAAGGGGAGCATGTAATTGACCAAGGTGATGATGGTGACAACTTTTACGTCATTGATAGGTAAGTTTTATCCACCTTTACTACTGAAGTTTTTAAAAACCTATTGTGTAAAATCTCAGCATTCACTGTGACAACCAGTAGGTTAATCTGATATTTGTGGTTTCCCTTCACTCTTACTACTCTATGGGCACCGTAAATGTCTTGTGAATATATACAGTAAAGCCATGCTAGCTCGTGCAAGGAGCCATAGTTTATAGAAGAAGTGAATCTTTGAATCTTAGTCATTAATGTGCCTTGCTTTGCTAACTTCTATTTGGTAGATAGAAAGTAATATTGCCGTGTAGTAGATGCCTATTACAATGAGAATAGGAGTAAGATATGGCATGGATGCCTCATAGTGGTGGTGCACGCCCTTGATCCCAGCCCTTGGGAAGCAGAAACAGGAGGATCCCTATGAGTTCAAGGACAGCCTGTCCTACAGAGAGAATTCCAGGACAGCCAGAGCTGTTACACAGAGAAGCCCCATCTTGAAAAAAAAACCAAACATGAAGTATCTAAGTGGTGGTGTAGTTCACTTGCTATTGCTATGTCTTTCAAAAGCTCTTAATATTAACTATGAAAGAATTCAGGTACTCCAGAAGGCATAAGGTAAGGAGGAAGCCTTTTTTCTGCTGTTTTAGCATTCTTTAATTAGGAGAGTGAACAGCTCATGTCTCCTTACAGAAATTGTATAGTATTTTACTTGTCCGTTAAAATGTTCCAGGTTTTTTGTTTTGTTTTGTTTTGTTTTGCAGGGGGTGGGGAATGGGACAAGGAAGCTCTGGCACTTACTATGTAGACCGGGCTGGCCTTAAACTCATAGAAAATATTTTCTTAAACAGAAAGTATATGCACTTATTTGTATTGACAATCAAATTGATAATTTGATTGTCAATTTGGAAATCTTAAACTGTGTTTTACTTTGTTGGGGAACAGTATGGCCTCCATGATGAATAGATGAGCCTCAAATCATACTTGAGCACACGCTGGGCAGGGTGTTTCTTCACCTTTGTAGGTGTCCCTACATGAGACAGTGTGTGTCCCTAAACTGTCCGGCTTTATGTCCACCTGATCTACTGATGCAGTTTTGCTCCACTGGATAGAATTGTGGTCAGCTGGTAATTAGACCTCTTCTGTCCACTGGGTCCCCTTTCCTAACCTTGGCCCTGTTTTCTTTCATACATGAGCTGTGTGTGCCTTTCACTCACTGGGTTTCTGACTTCTCTACCCCTGTCCTGGTGCCCGAGTAGCCTATTGCTGCAGCTCTAGCCAGGGTTACAGATAAAACTAAACTAAGATGCATTCCCTTGTGTAAGGCAGAGTCACAATTCTGGTGTTAAAACAGCTTTCACCAACAAAGCAGCTTATAAACACGCTCAGGTTTTTTCATTGAATTATAGGTGAGAAGCCCAGGGTTGGTTCAGTGGGTAGTTTTGACTACAAAACCTGCTTTGCATTTGAGCATAGTACATTCTCTTTCAGTGAGATCCCAATTATCCACTGGCAGATGAAATACTCTGGTTCACAGAAGTGACAGGGCTTGATTGAGGTCACCCAGATAGTCAGTGCATCTGACCCACAGCCAGGTTTCTGTTCATGCTCATTGCTCTGGCCTGCACTGCCTGAAGCCTCACTGTGTCAGGGAAGGGATCTGTATGAACAGCAGCCTGCCTGTCTAACAGACTTCCACTGAGGGCCCCCAGCTGGGCTGGTAGCATGTTTTACTCTCACCAGTACATTTTTGTTACTCATTTTATCCTATTCGGAATGGCAAATCCCGAAAAGACTGTCAGTGACAAAATACAAGGGGAATAAATGGCAGATTTAAGAAATAATAGTTCAACAAGTATTATCCATGGAACAAATTCGAGGATGTGTCCTCGTGTGCATCATTCCATCCCTGCACTACATTAGAAAGACAGTTTTCTCCCGTGTTAACATATTTGTTTCTTTACTACTTGGCGATCCTTTTCTGATCCTTAAAAGTTGTCCCCTTTTGCCACTGCCACATCTTTTTTCTAGGATTTAACCAACAGGGTATGGCTAAAGAACGTCTTGTCTGCCTCACAGGCGTGCCCTCTGGTCTTGAAACCATGCTTTCTGTTGAAGTACAGTGTGTGGGAAGATGGTCCAGTGCAGAAGGGATAGCTTGTGAGTGTAGGGCCTGCCCCCTGAGCACAGGGAACACGCACACAGAGTCTGTTTGCCTGCAGAAGGCACCAGTCGGCATGGGGATACTACAGGAAGGCCAGCTGGAGGCTTGATCTGAAGGTCTATGACTTCTTAATTGAAGTTTGGGGTTAACCTAAAGGGTCAAGGAGGGTATGTTAAGGCTTTGTGGGCCTTGTGGTCTCAGAATTCAAGTTACAAGTTCTGCTTGTAACCCAAACCAGCCGTGTAGAATAAATAAAGAAAAAGTTAGTTTTCCAATAGGAATTTTTTTAGTCAACACTGTCAGCTAGCTGGGGTGCCAGTTCCTGCTATAGTTTACAGCAGCAAATCAGGCTTCTTTTCTGCATTAACACCTCATTGTAATTAAATGTTACCTGAATCTCTTTCTCTAATTTAATATGAATTTGTGTATATCCAACAGAGGTACGTTTGATATTTATGTGAAATGCGATGGTGTTGGAAGATGCGTTGGTAACTATGATAATCGTGGGAGTTTTGGAGAACTGGCCTTAATGTACAATACACCCAGAGCAGCTACTATCACCGCTACCTCTCCTGGTGCTCTGTGGGGTTTGGTAAGTAAAATATTTGCTTGATCTAAATGTCATTGTTTTTTGTTTGTTTGTTTGTTTGTTTCAAATTATTATGACAGTAGATAGGTAGATACCCTGAAACTATATTTAACTTTTAATCAGTAGATGGCTTGGGATTACGAGTCATTGGCATTTATTAACCGCCTGTTATATGCTCTACTGTTGGGCACAAAGTCTGTGCTATTTATGTTCTTAAGTCCAGAGCTTGAGCTTGAATATACTGGCCCTTAGAATGACATCAGATCCAAACTGCTCCTCTCTTATCCACACTTAAAAAACCATGAACCATAAATCTGGAGAGATAGCTCAGTCAGTCAGGTGCCTGCTACACAAGAAGGAGGGTCTGAGTTCAGATTCCCAGAATCCATGTAAAAAGTCAGCACAGTGGCTTGTGCCTGTAACTACAGCATAGGGTAGGGGACCTGGAGAAAAGCATCCCTGAAGCTCATTGGCTAGCCAGTCTAGTCAATCAGTGAACTTGCGGTTCACTGATTCGTGGAGTGTAGCACGAATAATAAAAACCCAGAGATAGATGTTGTGGTTCAAGCTGAAGATCAGAAAAGCAAAGCAGTCAGCGACTAGAGAGTTCTTACCTCTAACAAGGCTCAGACCAAAAGGGGAGAGCCTGTCCTCAGCGTGACTTCAGACCTGCGGCTCCTATCTCCTCCTGTCTCCTATTTTATATTCCTCTCTAGTGCTGAGCTCAGCACCGCCACTGGGAGTAAAGGTGTGTGCCACCACTGCCTGACCTGTATGGCTGACTAGTATGGCTAGCTTTGCACTCTGATCTTCAGGCAAGCTTTATTTGTTAGATTACAAACAATAGTCAGATAAAGTAGTGGTTTTCAGAGTGATCAACTGAAAGTCACAACAGGAAACTTGTTAGAAGCATACAGGCTAGGCACTTTCCATTGATTCTGACTCCTGACCAAAAGCCCTGGAGAAGGGGCCCAGCACTCCTATACTTTCAGAAGCCTTCCATTTGATGCTCATGTTGCTGCAGTTTGAAAAGGCACCAAAACAGTTCTCTTGATGATGTCATCTATTGGTAATGTGTTTGAGGTCCAAAGCAACTATGTGGAATAAAAATATCTGATACCTGTGTTTTTCACTTAGGATACAATAAATAATTTAAAAAAATTAAAAAAAATCTTGCCTGTATTCTACACAAATGTAATCATTCTCCTGGAAACTTTGAGATGTCCCCAGTCCAGAACTTTTTGAATGCCACATCATCCCACAACTGTAAAATCCCATACATGTTACAGGTCAGTCAAAATGCCAGTCCATTCATTACTAGTACTTATAGATTACCTTCTGACCATACATATGAGATACACATGAACTATGAATTTAGTGTTTACACTTGAGACATGCTCCCAAACCATTTTGTTAAGAGTTTTCAATATCTGGGTGGAGTGAGTGTAGATGTGGTGACGTCTAAAAATCTGAAATACTACCCATCTCAAGACAACAGATCCTCGGTCTATATCTTTAAATATGTGTCTTAATGGTAGAGATTCTGTAAAGCACATTTGACTGAGAGGCTTGAGAAGGGGTTAGGGGCTCTTTTCACATGTACAGAACTGAACAACTGATTGTGGAAGGCTATTCTGGGGATGCCCTTACCACACTGTAGGTTGTGCACCTAACCTGGGTCTAAGGTGAGCTGGAACTGCCGGTACTCGTCAGCTCCCAGGAGGTACCTGCACTGCCTGGTGCGTCACACTTAACGGCAGGCAGCACTGATGGTCAGGAGTATTGGAAACAAAAAAGTAGCACATCCCTTGTTCTTGGCATGCAGTTTTCAGGTTATTTTCCCAGGTTGTTTGATTTTTGGTTTTTTTTTTTTTTTTTTTTTGAGACAAGGTTTCCCTGTACTCCTGGAACTCAGAGATCCACTTGCCCTTGTCTCCCAAGTGCCTGGGTTAAAGGCGAGTCCCAAAGCCTGACCAGAAGAAGGGTTTTGTTGTTGTTTTAAGATTTATTTATTTACTATGTATACAGTGTTCTGCCTGCATGTGTGTCTGCAGGCCAGAAGGGGGCACCAGATCTCATTACAGATGCATGTGAGCCACCATGTGGTTGCTGGGAATTGAACTCAAAACCTCTGGAAGCAGCACTGAGCCATCTCTCCAGTCCCAGAAGAAGGGTTTTAACTGTCCAGTTTCAAAGGGGTGAAGAGGTGCAGAATGTACACATTACCTCAGCATGTGACTCAGAAGTTGGTCTAGATCATAAAACCGTCTCACTCAAAGCTGACAGACACTTAACAATTTCTTTTTATGGGAGCCAAGCAGTTACTGTATGCCTGTTAAACAGCCAGTTTTATGAGTTATGGGGTAGGGTAGAAATAGAGATTCTTTCATGTGGAAAGAAGCCCATCACCTAAGTGTTTTAATGGTGCTCAGATCTGGATGTTTGAAGCCAACAGAGAGCAGCCGCGTCAGAGCAGACCTGTACAGGAAGTGTTTGCGAGTCCTTACAGTGGTAGGGTTAATCTTGTGTCTGCCTATTACAGGGGTGTCACTAAAAATGGAGCCATCTCACTGGCGATGCCAACAAGAGTCAGGGTGTCAAACAGTAAGGAGGCCTCTTCACACACCCTCCGTTCAAGATCACACATTTTCAGATTTGCCCTGAGCACTGAAAGTTTCAGCCCTGGTGGTAACATAACTAGCATACAAAGGCTTGGGCGGGGTTTTCATGTGCACAGTTCTGAAGTTTGTAAGAAACATTTGCAGAGATTTATTTATTTAATTTTTTGGTAGCCTGTACATGTTAATATTTATAAAAAGGGATAGTTTCTGATGCATGTATAAGTGCAATATCTTTAAAAATTACAATAATTAACATAATTTCACTGTATTGTAACTTGCTTTTTAAGAGCAGTTTGCATAACCAGTCCCTTCTGGGCAAAATTAGGCGGAAAGGAAATTTTAAGATGCACAGCTCTGTGATTGATAGTGCGGGTGTAAGGGGAAGCATATTGCAGAAGGGCCTCACTCTACACAGCACTCGGCTGCTGTCAGCCGGAGATTGGCTGAGGACTAAAGCAGTGGGCATGAAAGCATTTGGAATTGGGATTCCTGGATTTGACCGGTCGCAGTGGGTGTAAAGTGGTAGGCCATTAATAGTTCTTCCCGAGAGTTAGAATCCATGGTTTATTTCTAAATGGCTAAACTAATTCAGGCCTTCTCTGTTTTAATGAAAACAAACAAACAAAAAAAAAGTCTGTTCATAAAATGTACCTACTTCCCAAACCTGACTTTATATGACAATCACATGGTACACTTTTTTAGCCAGATGTGATGATGTTGAGTCACTCAAAGTCTTTGGTTTTAGAAATGACCTTAGCAAATTCTGATGGAGAGCTGAGCTTCAAAGGGGCTTAATACTTTTGTGAATTAACTCGTAACCCTAAAAATAGAATTTTACTACTGTACTTTCTCTTTTGGTTTTGTGGGCTTTTTTGTTTGTTTTGTTTTGTTTTGAGACAGGGTTTCTCTGTGTAGCCCTGGCTGTCCTAGAACTTGCTCTGTAGATCAGGCTGGTCTCAAACTTGAACTCAGGTCATTAGGCTTGGCAGCTGATGCCTTTACCTGGTGAGCCGCCTTGCTGGCCCAGGTACTCACTTTTTAAAACATTAGGAAGTACAAATCCAGAGAATACAGCCCAGCCAGCATCAAAACAGTAATAAACTAACTTGGGAAACAGGATGCTTAATTTCCAAGTGTCTCATTCTGTCTGGCTGTTACCACAAAACCACCACAGGTGGTGCAAGCACTCAGGTCTCACTGTCTTGGAGGCTAAGAAACCACAAGAGCTTTTGGTGTCTGGGGCAGTGATTATGGGGTTATTTACTTAAGAATAAAACATTTTATGAGAATTTTCGTAACATAAAGTTACCTCAATGCTGGGGTTAAAGATGTGTGTTACCACCACCCTGCTATTTTTGAGTTGCTATGTGTAAACATTTCTGTCATCCCTATATTAAGTTCTGCATTTTGGAGATCATATAAACATGAAAGAATTTAAACTGTAAACATGACAAAGTCAGGACTAAGACCCCAGAATATAATTTCTCTGTACCTTCATTTTCAAAAAGAAAATTTTAATATTATGTACATATGAAAAATAACCTACTAAGTATATATTTCTGTTGTTGTTTTTGTGGTTTTTCAAGGCAGGATTTCTCTGTGTAGCCCTAGCTGTCCTGAAACTCACTCTGTAAACCAGGCTAGCCTCAAACACAGAGATCCACCTGCCTCTGCCTCCCGAGTGCTGAGATTAAAGGTGTGCACCACCACCCGGCATAAATCTGTATTTTAAGAAAGCTTACATTATCAATTCTTTATGGATGACTTCTTTTCAACTAGTGTTTCTTGTAGTCTTTACTTCGGTGTATGTATAGTTCATGAACATTACATTAAATTGTGTCTGTGACTAACTTAAAAAATGTATTCCTAGACTGTCTGTCTTACTTTACTGTTTATAAAACTCAGGTCTGATCATGTCTACTTAATTGATTTTGCAACCCTGCCATCTACAGTGAGGGAGTGGTATTGGTATAATTTTTTTATAGTGTGACAGTGCCTCCATGTGGACATAGAGCCCAGTGTGCTGGCCAAAATCTTATGTCTAAAGCAGTGGTTCTCAACCGCCCTAACACTGTGATCCTGTAATACAGCAGTGGTTCTTGCCTTCCTAGTGCTGCGACTCTTTAATACAGTACCTCATGTTGTGGTGAACCCCAGTGATAAAATTACTTCTGTAGCTACTTCATAACTAATTTTTCTACTGTTATGAATCATGATGTAAATATCTGATATGCAGATATCTGATATGTGACCCATGTGAAAGGGTCATTTAACCCCCAAAGAGGTCACTACCCACTGGTTCAGAACCACTGATCAAATGAATGCTCCTTCCTTCTTTCCTTCCTTCTTTTCTCCCTCCCTTCCTCTGTCTGTCTCTATCCCTCTCTGTCCCTCTCTCTGTGTCTCTTTTCTTTCCTTTCTTTTTGAGACAGGGTTTCTCTATGTAGCCCTGGCTGTCCTGGAACTCACTCTGTCAACCACACTGGCCTGGAACTCACAGATCCACCTGCCTCTGCCTCCTCGATGCTGGGGTTAAAGATATGTGCTACCACCACCCGGCCAAATGCTTCTTTTTCTAAGAAAAAAAAAATTATATGGTAAGTTTTATGCCCAACGAAATAAAAATAAGAAATTAGGTGAGAGTATAAACATGCTATAATCTTTTAAAGTCTTTAGCTACTGTATATTCCTTGAAGGGAATAAAACTATTTGTTCAGATTTTAACTGCCTTTGTATTTGATGCTCTCTCTTTAGGACAGGGTAACCTTCAGGAGAATAATTGTAAAAAACAATGCCAAAAAGAGGAAGATGTATGAAAGCTTTATCGAGTCACTGCCATTCCTCAAGTCCCTGGAGGTGAGCTGTGCTTTTATTCCCCTGTGCTGGCTGCTTTGTTTGACAGCCTGCTAAAGTGTCCCAGCTGACGAGAAGGCCAGCATGCAGGGAACCCCAGTTCCCACATGATGGTGCAAAGGTGTCCCGTGATCTCCACACACAGTATGCACTGTAGTACTCCCCACTGTAAGAACGGCAATGCTAATAGTAACTGTTAAAGTCTATTCATATCTTCCTATGAAAAGAACAGATAGCGGCATTAGGTTTATTGTTATTTCTTTTGCTACCTTTAAGTACATTTTATTCTGGTTACGTGAAAATGGGGTTCTTATCTAGACTCTATAGCAAATTGATAGGTGCCATTTATTTATTTGATAGCAGACTTAAGATATCAAAATGTCACGAAGAACTACTGGTTATCCCTTCACATGGAGAAACAACCTAAAATAAACACAGAAGGTCCTCACTGCCCCATTCCCACCCCCAAGTCATCTTTACAGCCTGTTCCCATTTGTCTCTACTTTTAAAGTTTGCATTCCTCAGCCTTGGTGTCTTCTCAGCATATACACACTTACTTGGTGTGTGAGCACTTGAAATATGAATCACACATATTTCAAATCTGAAGTCCATAAGGTCTATCTACATGCCAGTAACTCCTAAAATTGTCATCACTGTCAACTACTTATTTAACATCTTCTGTCAGATACCTTGTACACATCTTATCCTGGACCAGATGCCCCAAGTCCTCCTCTTCGCTCTTTGTCTTTTCTGTCATTGTGAGGAGACACCCTGACCTGGCGTTTATAAAAGAAACCTTCCGTTTCAGAGTCCACGATAGCGGAGCAAAGGCATGGCGGCAGAACTACACTGGATCCACAAATATGGGACAGTGTTCACAGAGAACAGCCCAGTCTTCTGAAAGCTGTGACTCCAGCACGGTCACATTCCTAATGCCACCTAAAACAGTGCCACCGACTGGGAACCCATGGGTGTCATTCTCATTGAAAACAATATACTCTTTATTTTAGAAGGCACTGTCTTTGTCATTCTGTTGTCTCAGGGCGGAAACTTAGATCCTGTTAGCGCCCGCTCAGCTTTCCCCGCACCGGCGGTCCGTGTGCTGGCAGTCTTCTCTACCCTGTCTTCAGCTTATCTGCAGCCTCCAGGCATTTCCTATTACCTTTACCGGTATCGCCTTCTGTCTGTGTCATCAATGCCTCTTGTATGACTTACATCACTACCTACAGCAGCTTGTGAGTCCTAGACTCTTCTGTCCTGTACCGTTCCAGGACAGGATGACTTTGAAGGCTGCTGAGGACCTGCCCAGTACCCTGCCCCCCCGTCTGTACCTCTCTGACAATATTTCTAACTGCCCCCCCCAAGACATCCTGCCAGAGACACTAGCTTCTTGCTGTTGCACAAACAGCTGTCTGCCTAGCGCAGCCTCCTGCACAATTCCATGTCTGCTCCATGAATTAGCCCAGTATCTTCTCAATGAGACCCATTGTTTCCTATCTCTCAGGGTAGACACCTATGAAAGAAATGTCACCTTAAGAATTTTGCCAAAAATTCATTGCTAAGTGTTTTTTGCTAGATATTTTATAAAGCCTCATATTTGAACTCTCTTGAAAGTGGTTATAGAGAAATAGATGTACTTAAGGTGCCATAAAATGGCACGTATCAGCATAGTAGTGTCTCTCTAGGGTTGCTGGTTTATGCCTGGGAGAACCTTGCCCACATTGTGGAATGAACAGGCAGTTGAATTTTTCTCCAGCAGCTCCTGTCCTCAAATAGAACATATCAGGGAGGCAATCCAGTCAGATTGAGGCATGTGACATGACAAAAAACAACCCAGGAAGGGACTTTGGCAAATTGGAGAACATGTGCTCCCTCTAAGGGAACAGCTGCCATTCCACCAAAGCTTTATTGCTACCATATGGAAATTTGGGCTGGGAGTTTCTGAGTCTTCTGGTATTTTATGATAAACTAGAAATACAATTTTTTTCTATTTCAGAATTCTAGCAAGTAATGTTAACAACCACGCAAGCAAACACTGGTCAGTTTATTTAGCAGTATAGGTTACCCCTTTTAAATGTGTAAAATAAATATAAGATTATACCTATAATTGGTCTGTGCATTACTCAGGATTTTCTAGAGGAAGAGAGAATGTGTGTGTGTGTGTGTGTGTGTGTGTGTGTGTGTGTGTGTGTGTAATATGTGATGATATATAGCATATTATATGTGTGTCTATGGTATATAATATATATTACACATACATGTATATGGGAATTTGTTAGAATGGCTTACAGGCTGTGGTGCCGCTAGTCCAACAATGGCTGTCTACTAATGGAGGACCTAAGAATCCAGTAGTTGTTCAGTCGATGAGGCTGGATGTCTCATCTGGACTTCAAACAGAATCCAGAAGAAGTAGGCTCTAATGCCAGGGAAGGAACAGACTTCCTGGAAGATCGAGAGCAAGCAGGCAAAGGGAGGGGGAGTTGCCCTCGTCCCTGTCCTTTGAATAGACTATAGCAGCAGGTGTGGCCCAGATTAAAGGTGGATCTTTCCACTTCAATTTATTAAGGGAAAAACAGAACAAAACTAAAAGCCTCACAGGTGTACTCAGCCATTTGGGTTTTGGTTAATTCCAGATATAGTCAAGTTAACAACCAAGAACAGCCATTATGGTCTGTTTTTAATACTATAGTTTCTTTGTAGGTTTCTGAACGCCTGAAGGTGGTAGATGTGATCGGCACCAAAGTTTACAATGATGGAGAACAGATCATTGCTCAGGTATGATACCATGTTAGTCAGTTTAGGGTTACATTCAAGAATGTCTTAGAAATCTTGTTAAACTTTGTTTTAGTAATTAGTATGCAATGTTGGATTAAATGAGTAGTATTTCTACCAAACAACTTACTAAAAATGCTTTTACAGCCTGTGAGTAATTTAGATGTTTTTGTTTATATAATTTACCCCTAATGAATACGCATTAAACCATTACCTGACTTTCTGAGTAGTTTTACAATGTGTAACATCAAATTCCATTGTATGGTAGGAATAAGAGGTCATATCTAAAAGTGGGACAGTGGTGACTCTCCCATGAAATGACTAAGAATGCAGATCCATTGGGAGATGGAAAAGAGTTTTGCATGATCAGTTCTTGAGACCTCCTGGGGTCACTTCTAGATAACATTCACTGAGAAAGGCTCACATTGTACCATATCCAAATAGGACCTCTAACCCTCGTGCTTTTCCAACATCCCGGTCAGCCAGAGGGCGCCTAGAAAGCATGTCCGCAGACAGTGAAACATGCACACCACTTGAGGGGATTCCTAATGTTCTATTTTTTTAAAATCACAACAGTCTACTGTATTATTCTATTTTAATTATCGTCCTTTTCTTTACATGTGAAATAAGATTCAAGGACTGTTTGAAGAAAAGACCATTGTTTAAAAGGCAAACAAGTATCTTTCTGCCCCTACCTGCACTGCTCATGCACACACACAGTGTAATCAAATTAGAGTGTTAAATGGGAAATAGGAAAGTCTGGCATACTTTTCAGATGCTTAAGTTGGTTTGGGGTTTATTGTTAGCAGAACCAAGCATCTCATCATACATACTAAGCACGTATGCCACCACTGAACTACAGCCCTAGGCTCTTAAGTGCTTCTTTGTAACTTCATGTTTTCAAAAACAGATTACAAAAAGTATTGGGAATTTGCATAGACTCTCCAACTAGTTTCTCTGAGCCCATATTGTATCAGCAATGCACTGAATCAAAACTAGAAAATTGACATCGGCACAGCCCACAGGCTGGACTCAGATTTCACTGGAGTTTTACGAACAATTGTAGCACATTCACCCAACAGCTGATATACCTACCAGGAGCCGTAGAACTCCATATTTTAGTGTGAAGGTCTAATAAAACTTGACATGAACATGAAAGAAGGGGCCTAGAGGTACAGCTTGAGAGTAGACTGTGTTGTTTGCATGTATGGTGCTCTAGGATAAGTAAACAATTAGCTACATTTTTTTTTCATTAAAGACACTCTAGCTTCACTCTCTAGCAAATTTATAGCTGAATTTTATTAAAGATGCCATTGCATACTGTTTTGAGCATTTGTAAAAATATACCTATCCTATATTTTAGAAATCTAGGCCTAATTATTTTTGTGATCTAATCTGTGGTTTTTGTTTGTGATAATACCGTCACATGCTAAGTTTTTAAAATATACCCAAGAGGTTTTCAAATGTTCGTGTTTCTCTGAATGCACCAGAAGGACCTTAAACAGTGAACAGAAATCTCCCGTAGCATGTTTGAGGAGGAACGTCAGAAGCACTGTTTTCTAGTTAGACAGGGCACCCTGCTTTTCAGTCTCAGCAGTCTTTTCAGAGTCTGGGGGTACACTGGCCTTGGAAACCCCAGAGCCAGGAGCATTCGTTGCTTCCCAATGCTTCAGGTGCTGCTGGCACGTCACTGTGCTAATGTGGGTTACTTTGGGTGGACACAGGGTGCATGCTGCTACTTTCCAAGGAGCACAGAATGTACTGACCTAGCCTGTTGATGGGAGGTGCTGCTGGAATACACAGCCATGCTACCCTTTCTATGTGAGGCTCAGCACAAACATTGAGGTGAAATTCCTAGCCCAAGTTATCTTCTGATAGTGGGCATGTATTTCAAATGTTTTTACAAATAAAAAACGTTACTACATAATTATCTGTCATAACCTCTGGATGTAGAAGATGAAATAGCCTCTTCAATATGACTTTACTTACAAACTGGAATCTGTAAGCTGGCTTCAAGGGCATGATTTCAGGGTTGCTATGGAATTTTCATTGTCACTGTGTTTTTGTTTTCTTTTAATAGGGAGATTTGGCAGATTCTTTTTTCATTGTGGAATCCGGAGAAGTGAAAATTACTATGAAAAGAAAGGTAAACATTTATCAGTCCTAAAACTCATATTAGCAAGGAAAATAATGGATTTTTAAATGTTGTTAAGATTTAAATGTAACTCATCTCACTTACCTTCTCAGGGTAAATCAGAAGTGGAAGAGAATGGTGCTGTGGAAATCGCTCGGTGTTTTCGGGGACAGTACTTTGGAGAGCTTGCCCTGGTCACTAACAAACCAAGAGCAGCATCTGCACACGCCATTGGGACTGTGAAATGTTTAGGTAGGGGTCACAGTGGTGGGCCTGGTTATGTCTGCATTCCAGGCACCAAGATCATATGGGACATTTTATTGGGTTTACAAGTGCTGAAGTCCTCATAAAATATGACCAAGGTTTGGACTTACTTCATTTATTGAAACGAGGACTTCCAGTTATAGTTTTACATTTAATTTGTCAAAAAAATGCCATACGTTGTGTTCCTCAAAAGAGAAGGCTAAAATGGTGGTGGTGGAGGGGTTGTTGTTGTTTTGTTTTTTGTCAAGTTCTTTATTAAGCTTTGCTGGGAAGTTGGAATTCCGGTGAAAAACGCAGTCATATCACACACACACACATACACACACACACACACACACACCACCAACAACAAAAAAACCACTTGGGGAGCATGACAGAAATGTCACTTTCAGTGATAGAGATTTTGTGTGTGAGAAATCACTCACTTAGGTAATGAAAAACGTCATTCAGAAAATAGAAACATGTATTCAAAATGTATTCAACAATAATAATTCTCTCCATGTTCCTCACAATATGAAATGATGTTAGTTTCAGTGATTTCTAAGATTTACAAGGTTCCTCGGGATATTCCTTACAGACTCACTTTGTAAAAGGTTTTCAGTAAGTACAGGATTAGTAAACTGTTACTTTGATGAAAGAGAAGACACACCTTACAGATTCTCCTCAGAGCTGTTGACTATAAGACAAAAGTATACAGAAATATAGGAAAAACTAAGACACACCCATGTTGTCACCGTCATCACCATGGTTTTGCTTGATTTGCATGAGTTTTCTGTTTTTAAGGAATTTTCCACTACAAGAATTTTATTAATACATCAAATTTTGACATTCTATTAGGTAAGTGTATACACGATAAATTATCTAATCACTCGCTGGTAAATGTTTTATGAGCTTTGGATCCAATTTGTATGAGTACACAGGTATGCAGAGGTGCTTTTTTCATTAGAAATGATTTTATGACTACGTCTTTTGAAATAATTTCCCTTTAATTAGTATATTACGCGTATAAAGTTGTAACACTTCCATTAGTACCATGTGCTTTGCATACTCACCATAATTACCCTGCTCTTCTTCTTGTTGATCCCATTCTTCTTTTCTGATAGCTCCCTTCCACTTTCATGGTTTTCTTTTTTATTTAGATTTTCCCCTCCTTCATCTGAAGGAAAATAGACAGTGTCTGCTTCACTTAACGTGATGTTTCCAAGTGCTTTGTTCATTTTTCTGCAAATGTTACAGTTGATTTTTCTTTGTGGATGAGTAATGCTGCATTGTATGTATACACTTCATTTTCCCATTTTTTGATGGATACTTAGGCTATTGGGAAATAGTGACGTGATATACACGGGCAGGTGACTAGCTGGCTTGTGTGCTGACTTTGACTCCTCCGACATTGCCTGGGAGGGTAGAGGCTGGGTAAAATGGTAGGATTAGTTTCTTTAATGGGAAATGTATGGACTGATATCCTAGCATCCACACTAATATATAAATCTCATCAATGGTGGACAAGGCTTCCATTCTTCAAGAGGCCTTGCTGACTTTTGTTGTTTCTTGGTGATTGCTGCTTTGGCTGGGGTGAGATGGGAATCTCAGTGTAGTAGTGATTTGCATTTATCAGGTGGCTATTTTTTATTTTATGTATTTATTGGCTACTTGTTTTGAGATTTAGTTCATTTGCCTATTTAATGACTCATACATACAGGCAATTTTTTTTTTTTTTACTTTTGTGCCTACTATAATATGCAAGAATATCCCATAAGCCTTACAAACCCTACCTTTTACTTGTGCAAATTTGAGAGAATTTGATATGTTAAGCAGTATATTATAAACTCAAGTTTTAAAATGCAAGAGACAGCCAGGTCTGGTGTCTACTGTGTGTAATTCCAGCATCTGAAGTGGGAGGATCATAAAATCCAGGCCAGTTTGTTCAAGGTCAGTGTGAACTTAACTAGGCTGTCTCAAAAGCAAAATAGAAAGAACATGCTTGAGGCAGACAAGTAAAGTGATGCATATATTGATAGATGCAGAAAAAAGCATCATGTTGGTCACAATGTTGAATTATGTAGATAATGGTATAAATATGTAAAAATCTTCATGGCCTAATATCATACTCTCTGAAAACAGGAAGAAACACTCTTGTACCACTTTGGTGGGGGGTTGTGTTTAGTTTTGAAGGCTCTGTCACTGTGCTATGTTAGACCTTTATTTCCTCAGCATGGATCAGGCACCTCCCACCAGTCCCGTTACAGGTCCATCATCTGTTAAAGCATCGCAGACCATAACCAGAGAAGGTTCTATTTCCTTTTTGAAGCAGAACATTTTAATCTTCCTTTTTTTTTTTTCGTATTTTTATAATATCTACCTAAAATTCTCTTGCATTGTTAATATACGAAAACTGCAATATCATAGTGGAAAGGAATGGCTTAGAAATTTCTGAGCTATGCAAGGAACGACATTTTTAATTAATTAATTTATTTTTCTTTTCTCTTAGCCATGGATGTGCAAGCATTTGAAAGGCTTTTGGGACCTTGCATGGAAATTATGAAAAGGAACATCGCCACCTATGAAGAACAATTAGTTGCACTGTTTGGAACAAACATGGATATTGTTGAGCCCACTGCATGAAGCAGAAGTATGGAGCAGAAGGAGATTAGTGAATCAGTTATGCAGTAGTGGTTAGTCCACTGAGTGTGTTTGTGAGCATTTTCTGTGATTTCAGGTTTTTCCTTTTTTCAACAACAACAACAAAAAAAAAAACATTTACAATGTATCAGTAAACAGTAGTGATTTAATAGTCAATAGGCTTTAACATCACTTTCTAATGGGTAGTTCATTTAAAAAAATATTCGTAAAAATGACTTTCTATTCCATAAAATTATTTGACTGAAAGTTTTATTCAAATATAATATATTGAAAGCATTACATGTTTAAGAAGATAATTAAAAGATGTAACCATAGGCCAATCTATGTTTGGATTATTCAAATATCAAATTAGTGACTATCCCATTTAAGAGAGAAGTTGGTAGTGACTCATGCAATCTAGCATGGCATTACATTCTTTTTCTAATTCATCCTACAGTAAAAAGTCAGTCATTTCATTTTCTAGTTTTTCTGGCTTGATAAGTTGTGTGTTAGCCTTGGCCTATTGGTGAAATGGCATGAAACATCATATGCAATTTAAAATTTTTTTATATTTTTGCAATAAAGTACATTTTGACTTCTTTGACAAATGTCAGTGGGTAGCCTACGTAATTGAGTGGCTTTTGAGGCTTGCAACTTAGTCATTATGATAATTGGGCAAAGAGTTTTCAGATAAAAGCTTATAAAACATTTTTCTTCTCTACCCCCCCACCCCCACCCAAGACAAGGTTTCTCCATGCAGCTCTGGAATTCACTTTGTAGACCAGGCTGGCTTCAAACTCATAGATCCACCTGTCTCTGCCTCTTGAGCGATGGGGTTAAAGGTGTGTGCCATTACCACCCAGCCCATAATACATAGTATGACTGCTTCCTTTTTTATTTTGCAACCTCTGTATTCTTTATAAATTGCATTTTGACATCTAATGTGACAAAGATTTCAGAAAAGCTATTTAAACTTAATCTGACTTTTTTTGTTCTCTAAGAGTTCTGAATCTTATATTTAGAAAAAGGAAAACTTTCCTAGGAAAAAATTGTATGAGAGTCCTACCCACATGCCCACAGGATGCTGCTTTGCTCCTCATAGTTCAGATACTGCAGCCCTGTACACATGTCTGTGCCCATGTTCCGTTCCTTTCCCTTCCCTTCCCTTCTCTTTCCTTTCCTTTCCTTTTCTATTCCACTTTCCCTTCCCTTTCCTTCTTTCCTTTCCTTTTTCCTGTTTCCTGTTTCCTTGTGTAGTCACCAACCAGCAAGCGCATTGACCAGCAGCCAATCAACCCTCAAAACCTCTACTACAGTGGCGGAAATAAGTCTGTATATAAGCAAAGCCATACATAATGATTAATGGAATATCTGTCTATACTAATGATAATTAGGCCTTTTCCTTAGTTTTAAAGTCTAATTCAGAGTTAAAAGTACACAAAGTACAACATTTTATTAGTTTTTTTTTAATCACTTACATGCTTATTTTTATGCCATATAACAATGAACTGTTATATACAACCAAAGCAATATACTTTTACATGACTTTCAGGCCCCATGACCAAATGTCGAGAGACATTAATTCTCACCAGTTATTCACCTTTAATGGGTAATTTCATTTTGGGAAACATGTTCTAAGAAACAGAGGTGTCTATATATGTGAAACTCATCTATGGTTTTTGTGATCTTATAAAGGAATGTTTATAGTCCTACTTGTACATGAAAACATGGCTGGAATGTTAATTGGATAATGCTTAAACTAGTTAAAGTATTTAAACTATAGCTTTAGTTATGTCTTAAAATACTACTATTTTTGCAAAATCTATCTGTAGGAAAAAGAGCTCTCTCTACATGAAGGTAACATGTTTTCAAAAGCCATGTGTTAAACAAGGAAAAATTCAAAAAACAGAAAAACAAGAAAAAAGCCACCCAAATTCCTGGTTCCTCATTCTGTTGTTTATTCACTTTTCCAAGTTCTCTTGTTGCATTGACTAAGCTGATTGTTAAGGTTCATGGAAAATAAAGAATTCCAACCAAGGCTATAAATGCCAGTTACATTATTTTCAGTATTGTTGGTTGTATTTAAAATTTCCTTATAATAAAGCACACTTTTATAATAAATATTTTAAGCATTGTTTTTTTATTATGGCTTGTCTAGTGTATAAATGTAACAAAAATCATGAGATATGGTCCATGGAAGTTATAACCCATAGCATATAGGAGTAAGAAAGTATGGTTTTGCATGAATGTAGGTCTCTGTAAGAGTTTTAACTACTGGTTAAATTTTTAACTATTGTGGTATGTTGCACAATATTTTGGCAATTTAGAATATCCAAATAAATATGACTAACAGTAATTTATGTGTAAAACTTTCTAATTAAAACAGCTCAAGTTTGACTTGTGAATGTCATTATTAAATCACTAATGAGGAATCTTAGTATTTGGGAATACTTTGATGAAGTTTCCATTCAGATATGGCACCTCTTAAATACACCTGTGGCTAGGAAAGTGTTAGAAGTCTGTCCTGGAAAACAAGATTCTTAATTTTGTTTTAAATAAGTTTAGAACAGTATTTCTTCAGTATGAATTAGGGCTTAGCACTTATATTTTAACAAAAATACATACTACCTTCAGTAGAAGTTGGATAAATATATGTCAAATGTTTTATGCAGGCAGTTTGCAATGAAACAGGGACTTGGAATTTTACTGAGACGTGAAGGAGTGAGCAGTGTGTGGAGTTGTTTCATTTCCAAAGTATGTTTAACAACACAGATTACTTTTCCCTGAAGTGTTATGATGATTAGATACTTTTCTGTGGTCTTAAAATACTGTAAGCCTGGAGGGATTGCTCTGAACCTTTGTTAGGCAGCTCATGAGGGGCTTCTCATAGCTGAGTAAAATGCAAACACTGCAGAGAGACAGGAGGAATGCTGGTTTCCAAAGTCAATAGTGAGGTGAGGTACAGACTAAAGGAGAGAAATTGTAGTAACAATTTAGACAGTTTTTACCTATTCCAGAGTAATTTTACAGGCATAAAACTGTCTAATCAATGAAAAATATAGTTGTATTCAAAAATATTTTTTTAAAAAAATTATTACCAGGCAGTGGTGGTGCATGCCTTGAATCCTAGCACTCAGAAAGCAGAGGCAGGCAGATCTCTGAGTTCAAGGCCAGCCTGGTCTACAGAGTGAGTTCCAGACAGCCGGAGATATACAAAGAAACCCCGGGGGTGGTAGGGGAGGGCGGATAAAAATAAATAAATAAATAAATATTATTTTAACTCATGAATTGAGAAGATATAAGCAAATATACTAGTTATTTTTGGAAGAACACAAGATTATCTCTATCCATTTTTGCATGCCAAGGAGAATCCATCTTTCACTAAGACTGTGTTGTATGTCTCATGAAGAACTGAGATTTCTTCCTTTCTTGTTAAAGTCTTGGCCTATAGCTCAGTGTTAGGTAAAAGCCTAGTCCAATATTATGTAGAGTAAATTTTGAGAGGAAAATCTTTTACTAACAAATGTAGGTCTTTACCTTTTTCATATGGTACGTTTTCAAACCTAAAACTTCCTAGAAGTCTTTAGTAAGCATCTGTCATCTGTATACGGTGAGATATGATGACCTATGAGGCAGGATTTATCATTTATATTAAAATGAAGTGCCTGGCTGGAGAGATGATGAAGAGGTTAAGAGCACTGGCTGTTGTTCCAGAGGTCGCGAGTTCAATTCCCAGCAAACACATGGTGGCTCACAACCATCTATAATGAAATTTGATGTCCTCTTCTGGCATTCATGCATCTATACATAATAAATAAATAAATCTTAAAAATGAAGTGCCACCTACTTGAGAATGTGGTTTTCTTAGATTTTGATTTAACCATTGCCTGAATCTTGCTATTTTCTTAAATATAAACATGACACTGCAAAGTGGTGTATAGATGAATATAGCATGTATACATAGATGTATGTATATATATTTATACATATTTTGTTAGCACCATTTATAATTGTTTCCTAGTAGCCTTGGTTGTTCTCTCCATTAGTCCATTGGCCTCTTTTTAGTAGATGAATTGGGAACACAGCAAGTAGAACAATGCATGGTAAATGGGACACAGATGCCTAACTAGAACCCTAGTCTTCTCTATGAGTCCCCAAAATGTAGTTGTGGATTCATCCAGAATAGGGGGGAGGGGCTAGAAAGATGGCTCAGAGGTTAAGAGCACTGGCTGCTCTTCCAAAGGTCCCCAGTTCAATTCCCAGAAACCATCTATAGTGAGATCTGGTGCCCTCTTCTGGTGTGCAGGCATACATAATACATAATACAAAATAAAGTACTATGTGGGGCATTGGTGGCACACGCCTTTGATCCCAGCACTTGGGAGGCAGAGGCAGGCAGATCTTTGTGAGTTTGAGGCCAGCCTGATCTACAGATTAAGTTCCAGGACAGCCTCCAAAGCAATACAGAGAAATCCTGTCTCAAAAGAAAAAAAAAAAAAGGGCTAGTAGGAAAATATTTGGAAGCATTCTATTAAATGGTGTAGGGATGAAGGTGTAGTGGCCTTAATGTGTGGACTGGTGAGATGGCCTGAGTTTCTCTAGGACCACAGGTGTTAGAAGTTAGCCAGGCAACAGAGCAAACACACACACACACACACACACACACACACACACACACACACATACACACACACACTAAAAATAATATGCAAAGATGGAGCAAACTCTGGACAACTGAGAACATTTAGGTATACAGCTGGTAAGTCCTCAACCCTGCCTTGACTACAACTATCCTGATTTTAAAAAAAAAAAAAAACTGAATTCTCTCTTTTACCAAATTTTGGTTTCTACAGACTTGGTCTTACTATGAAGGCTCAGGTGGCCTGGAACGTAAGGTCCTCCTGCCTCAGCCTCCTGAGTGGTTGGGTTGTGGGCTTTCTCTACCCTGCCTGACCTTCCTTTTCTTTGTGAAGTGTTAGGGATCTAACCCAGGCCAGCACTCTGCCACTTAGCTTCATTCCCAGCCTATACTGTTTTGCATTTAGTTTTGCATTTAGGCTTTAAAAGAACATTTGAGAACTTTAGTTGAAATATTGAAGTTACTTATAATTGTTCATCTTCCTTTTCTGTGCTAACTGGACACCAGCCTATGTCTTACTGATGGACAAGAGAATCAACTACATCGTTAACTACACTGGAATGTACCTGCTCTTTTAGGCCAGCATTCAGTTTGAGTGTACCTTCCTATATATGACTATATTCTTGAAATGTGAACAAATAATTTTCCTCCTCCTCATCGCCCCCCCCCCAGTCTCACTATGCTGTTCTATGCTCCCTAGGCTGTCCTTGCACTTTGGGGCTCAAACCATCTTTCCACCTCACCCTTCCCAGTAGGTGGGACTATAGGCAAGCACCCCTATTCTCCATAAGAGTGCCATATTTTAATTATTTTAAGATAGGTGGCCATTATAAGGATAATTTTTCTCCCATAGTCTTTAAAATGCCAATAGAATATTGACACACTTCAAAACTATAGTGCATTATGATAATCTATATAACTTGATGGTGAGGTGTGATAAGATACATATTCTGTTTGCATGATTGACATAGTAAAGGAGATAAAAACAGTATTTAACACAGTTGGGAGCTGAGTATCGTATCTGAAATGCTTGGAACTAGAACAATTTAATTATATATTACTGTTAGTATAGTAATATATGTTACTAATAAATTAAGGTTTCTGATCTTTTTGGATACTTTAACCTCTGAGCATTGATAATTTGAAGATGTGAGATCCAGAAAGTGCTGGAATCTGAAAAATGTTTGAGAGCCAACATGATGCTCAAAGTTTGAGACTCCTCAGCACTTAGTAGGAGATTTTGGTTTGTGAGACTTAACCTGTAATGACTAGAGGAAGTAGCCCTTAAAGCACATAGAAAATATTTTTAAAAGTCAGTATTCAAAACAGCACATGATGGCTTAGGAAACCCACACTGCCCATTTCCCCTTAACTTGTTCCATTGTTTATCAGATACCTACTTCATTGCTTATTGGCCAGACAAAAAGATGGTTACAGAGATGAAGAGTGGCAGAAGAAGAAAAGATGATGTGGGTGTGGAAGGATGAATTGTTATTAAAAGTATTAGTTTATTTGCATAGTATTATAATGCTGTGAATATGTATAAACAATAGTTTATATAAACTATTCCTATGAGTTTAAATGTTCTTTCTGGGATTTAATTATATTTTAATAACTATATGTAAAATAGGTCAGAAAACAAGAATTACTGAAAATTCTAGAAAAATTTCAGTAAATTACATAGGAATCTGTATTTCAGCTTGAGCTTATAAAACATGATGTGAAATGAAACAGAATTATTTATTGACTACTCTCATTTCATTTATACCAAACTGAGCAAGTCTGCAAGAAGGTTTGGGAGCAAATGATACCAAAAGTAGCAGTCTATTTTCTGAGGGTACTCAGCTTTATTCTTCCAGTCTTACCAATGCAGAAACCCTGTAATACATTTCTTTGCGTTATGATGACCCCCAATAATAATTTTTTTTTGAGATGGGGGTTTCTCGGCTATGGAGACAGTTCTGGATCAGGCTGTCCTTGAACTCAAAGAGTTCTGCCTGTCTCTGCCTCCTGAATGCTTCCTGAGATTAAATGCATGCGCCACTACCACCTGGCTTTATTGCAACTTCTAACTGTAATTTTTCTACTGTTATATGAACCCCCCCCAAGGGGTTACAACACATAGGTTGAGAACCACTGCTTTAGACTCTTATCTCTTAAAGTCCAAAATGAAAGTGAATACATTTAACTGTTATAAGCTCCCTCTAATCAGATTTCTTACAACCATTGCAATTTGAACTCAACCTTTTGACTAGTCTCAGAACCTACATCTCTCCCATATACCCTAATTCAGTTTGAAGCGTGAATAATCTGTTATGTAAGCAAGAAACCAAACATTCTTTCTTGCTTTGTCTTCTGTCGATTCTTACTGATGGGTATTAAGGGAGAAAACATCAGCCATCCAAGGTCTTGCTTTATTGTCATCTGAACAAAATCTAAATTTCTAGCTGCATCATCAAGGATATGAAACACATAATGATTCTGATTCGGTTCCAAAATTATGCCCATTACCTTCTAGTCACTTCATTGTATGTGTTTTATGAATACTTTGAACTAATTATAAAACAAACTTGTTTTCAAGCAGTAAGATAATATGGGGAGCTTTTTGCCTGAGTTTAGATATTGTACTAAAAAGCACTCTGAAACTTTGAGGACAGTATTTCGAACTATATGGTTTGGTCTCTTTCTCAGTTGTATAATTTGCTGAACCATTTGATAATGAGAATAGTGATATCATGAATATTCAAGTATATGTCATGGGCTTTCTCATTTTTGTTTGGCAAGATATGATGAGATCTAGGGAAATTACTTAATTTCATCTTTAAGATAAGTTATAATTTATAAATTTTAAACCATTTTAACCAACTAAAACTTGTTTATAACAGATAAATATTCAAACTGCTGATATTTTGAGATTCCCTACCACATTTTTAGCATAGATTTTTATGCATGTGTACAGTATACATACTAACCAAGGGGAGATACTAAAATGATTTTTTAATGTTAATCTTATGAAAACATGTGAAGATGACTATATCTTTTAGACAAAATGTCTAACTTACATAAGGTTTTACTAAGATCTTATTGGTCTTCCTTCTGGCTCTTGATTGGCTCCTTTTTTGTTAACCAAGAATTAATGATGTTCATGTTAAATATGCATAAGGCCTCAAGGTGCTCAGTTTATTTCCCTGAGAAAGTCAAAAGACAGGATTAAATATCTGCTAAATGGTGGGGGAGTTCCAATAATTGTATTTATTTATCTATGATTAAACTATTTGAATCTAATTTATATCTAAAGACTTGAACATAAGTAAGACAAAGTGTGGCAAATGTTTTAAATCTTTGTATTGTCAGTAGTAAAGGGGGTCAATAAATAGTACTAAATATATGAATGAATGGGAAAGATCTATGAAGTCTGCAAGGGATATAAGACTTCATAATTAATGTACAATATCTTTATCAGAAGTTAAATTTATTCTTCCCACCTTGGTAACTTTAAGCTTAAAAAAGAAAATCATCACTAAGGCTTTCAGCAAAACCTTGAAAAGTGTTCTTATGTTTGGCTTCCCCCTCCCTGTCTTTTAGTAACATTCAGAGGATGTCAGTGTTAGAGTTTACAGACTCATGAGGGACAGATAACTTTGTCTCACACCTTGTGTTGATTTCAGTTTTGGAAACTACAACTTTTTAGTTTCAAGAACATGTAAATCTTGCCGATATTAATTTTAAATGATTAAATATACTCCGAGGATCAAAACTGTTTGGGTTAAGAAATTTATTATCAGCGTTTCTACTCTTAAATTATGGATCATGGCCACTTTCCATTAAAAGAAGAAGAAAACACAAGCACAAAATGGCTGATACACAGTCATGCTTTTTGGAATCATTTACAGTATCTGAAAGATGCACATTAAAATCTTTTACTTTTTTATTTAGGGGTAAAATTAGGCATTTTGTTGGGTTCCCTCTGGGTTATTTTGAGGAAAATAATGCTTAATTACAATATATGACCACAGGATGTAAATCTCTGCTCACTTGGAAGGGCTATTTTAGAAAGTTTCCATTTCAAGAGTTCAAATGTAGACCTAAAAGGAATTTGAAACCTTGTTTCAATCATACACAGGTAGTCTTTAGTTTATTGATTCTGTCATGTAGCTTTTGGGTACATTTGAAAATTCAAGGAATGTGACAGCTTTAAAGAAAGATGATTTCGAGGTCTTCCCTAAATCGACTTTAGCAAAAATTACTTCCTCTCAATTTTCAGCACATCTCTAATAATCGAAAGAAATAAAACCTAATCCATAGCTTAAATGATTAAACACTTCAGGTTCAAAGAAACAAAGCTCAATAACGCCTGTAGTAATGCTTATGATGTGAATAGTAAATGTCAATTACAGATTAGCTGCTTCCAGCTGCTATGAGCAATCTCCTTTTGAAGGGAAGGTAACTAAAGCTGAGAAGCCATTCCTGGCTTCTGGTGAGACCGCCTTAGAAAAGTTGGGAAGAACCCCTAGTGGAAACAGAGTGGAAAGACAGTTTTTTTGTTTGTTTTGTTTTTCTGAATGCTTAGGACGGGAGACACTGTTAAAATATTCACCACAGAAACAAGTACTCTAGCAACTAAGTAAATCTGGACCAAACAACTTAAAAGAAAAAACACTTCAAACGCCGCAATTTCAAAGTAATCGGCCCCTTAACAGCTGTGTAAATCTAGAGACTGAGATTGGCTCATTCCTAAACCCTACAGTGCACTACTCTTGACTGTGTCTCAACGCATCCTGGTCAAACTGAACATAATGGATAAATTTTCCCGAGCTGTTGTGGGCGTGATGAGGCAAGGGTTGGTTCAAAGGATCTAGCTCATCCGCTGCTGGAGGGCAGTTCTGAATCAACCTTTCATCCCCACCGTGCCTGGGCCGTGATTTGTGAGTGATCGAGTCCCTAGTGAGCCTGAACTGCTTCCGCTTGTGCAGTCATCTTCTTCCCCTCGCACTAAAACAATACCTTGGCTATCTGCCAAACTTGGAGCAGAAAACAACTCTGGTTGTTTACGGCCTGGAATGGGTGCTGCGACAGACTGAGCCTACTCAAGAGTGCTCTCGGAGGCCCAGAGGAAGAGACAAGGTCCTAGCTTTAAAACACTCCTTTCCTCCGCCCCCTCCTTTTGTCTGAGACACCAAAACAAACGAGCTGATACACGTGTCCCTATGACTCTTGTTTACTATCAAGACTGCGTTGTGCACGCCCTTCTGGGATATGTAGTTCAGCCAGCTCCTCCCGCCGGCAATTTCCTGAGCTAAGGAGCAAGGCTGAGACTACCAACCCACAATCCACTTCGAGAACAAAGTTTGGCTCCTGTCCCCCTCGTCTCGGCAGTAATCCAATCCAAAGCGCTTTCTGTAGTGATTGACAATCCTCCTTCTCCAGTAAACACAACAGAAAAGTCAATACATATCCGCCCATCGAGACGGGCCTTGGTATTGCCCAATGGGAGAGCGGAACCTTAGAATGGCAGTTCTCCCGACCAATGAAAGACGAAAGAGGTGAACGAAGGCTCAGCCCCCGGGGGTTTCAGGGGAGGGGAAGACGAAGCTTGAAAGACTTGGTAATGGCGACGGGTTTGGTAAGTAGGAAAGTTTCGGCTGAGAAGTAAACGCGGCGGCGGGAGTCGCGGCGCGCGCCAGGGGAGCGGGCGGCCGTCGGGGAATGCGCAGGCAAGCTGCTGGCGTCGCTGTCGCGACGGGCGGCCCGCGTCCTGACGGTGTGTGCTCTCTGGGTTCCGGAGGGGTGGGGGCGGGTAAGGGAGGGGCTGGGGCGTCGGGGCCGGGCAGCGGCCGCTCCAGCGGGGACCCTCGGCTGCTGGAATCGGGCTCGCTGCGGCGAGCTCGCTGCCCGGGCCTCCCGCGAGCCCTCCGGGGCTGGGCGTTCGTGACGCCCAGGATCCCCCCCCCCAATCCCCGGGAGAGGGGACTGGCGGAGGCTCGGGCTCGGCCGCGCCGCGGTGGGGGCTGGCGGGGAAGGGGCCGGGGCAGGGGAGGGGCCTGGCGTTCCGCAGGGCTCCGGAAAGTTTGACTCTCCACTCGCCACTGCAGGGAAGAGGGACGGAGGCCGGCCGCGAGCCCAAGCGGGCCGGGGGCTCCTGGGAGGCGAAGCAGCCTGCGGGGTTCGGGCCGGGTGGGGGTGCTCGCGGAGCCGTCGGGCCCGGGGCTCATTGTTACGCAGTTCGAATGAATGGGCTGCGAGGCGCGTGCGCGGTGGGGCTGCGCTGAGGGGGAAAAACAAGCCTGGCGTCCAGGCTGTGGTCACATGATGGGGGGAGGGGAGGAAGCGATGAATGGCGAAAGAGGTGGGGGTGGACTTGGCCAGCTCCCGAGGCGCTGCTCGGCCTGACCCGGCGACGAGGCCCGCGGGCGAGGCCAGGCTCCTCCCTCTGCAGGCCGATTTAAACAAAACAAAAAGGAGTTCGGGCGAAGCCTGGCTCCCCGGTGCTCCCTGCGCGGTGCAGGCTGTGGCTCACTCTGGACTCCTCAGCTGCAGTCCTGTGAAAGAACACTGACAGCGGGGCGGGACGCGTCTACTGGCGCTTGGTAGCTGCTGCCGAGACTCCGTGGGGTTTAAGGGATCATCGCCTTCCGGGGCGTGGGGCTTCAGGATGATTTATGATTTGAGAATTAGAATATTTTTTAACATTTACAAACACTTCAGTGTTCTTACTATAACACTGATCCCGAGTGTAAAATTGTGTTTTGTTTCCGGCGTTCGACCCCTCCCCTCATCTCTGTTTTGTGAACGGAGTATTGGGAAACTTTCGAGTTACATTGAAAAGAAACTTCAAATTTTTTCGTTACCTTAGGGTTTTGAAGAGGAAACAGTTATTTAAACATTAACTCGACTAGTAAACTTCAGGATCTTTTTAAAATTTAATTTTATAGCTTACTGCTTAGTTTTATAACCCTTTTCTTCCTGGGAAAGCCCTTTATTCATTTCCCGACTGTTAAAAGGATGCCTTCTCAGTGTATTTATTTATTTATTTGGCATACATTTCTCAGTTGTACTTGCACGACAGCTGTGTTCCTCTCTTGAACACTATACTACTATCGTCTCGACTGCATTTTGTCTTCAGACTCTCCCAGTGTCCAGTGAAGCAGGAATGTGGTGTGAACTTAGGTACTGATCCCGGAGGTTCTTTGGTATGCATTACAAGCTTGATTGTGTATCAGTTGAAAATAAAGATAATCAGTATTCTTTAACTGACATAAGTTATCTTAAGAAGTTACTCCCTAACAGTACTAACAAGGACAGATATTTTTCCTGTTTTAAATTTCGCAGAATGTACTGAGACGAAAAAAAAATCACAAAAATTAAAAAGTTAAATTGACAAATACTTGTATATAATACAATTAAGGAGATTCATAATATTTTAACTCCCTGGTGTCAGTAATTATGTAGTTTTATGTTTTAATCTGCCTTTGCTTTGTACTTACAGCCATCATTTCTGTTAGATTTCTACTGTGAGAGTTAGGAAAGTTTATTTTCAGTCATTACTGTTCTTAATCTCAAGCGTTTGGGAAGTACAAGCAGGAGAATGGGCCAAGACCTTGGCTACATAGTGAGTTCCAAACTAGCCTAGACTACATAAGACCATACCTTAACAAAAACAGGGAAGAGAAAATAAGCAAAATTTCCCTCTAATATGGTTAATTCAATGTTTGGTGTTGTTGTTTTGTTTGGTTTGGTTGTTTTTGTTTTTTGAGACAGGGTTTCTCTGTATTGTTTTGGAGCCTGTCCTGGAACTTGCTCTGTGTAGAACAGACTGGCCTTGAACTCACAGAGATCTCTGCCTGCCTCTGCCTCCCCAGTGCTGGGATTAAAGGCATGGGCCCCCACCCCCCATGCCTGGCTCAAATGGCATAGTCTTAATTGAATAAACTTAACCTATCCTGGAAATTCTGAAGCCTTTATAGCCTAGACTGGCCCTGAATTCTTGTCAGTCCTTCAAGAAATAGCTGTCAGAGAAATTTTAAGGCCAGTATTTCTCCTATAGAAATGGTCCTCCTGTCCCCTTTTTAGGCAGAGTCTCATGGTGTAGCCCTAGGTAGATAGCTACTGTAACACACTTTATAAACCAGGCTAGAGTGGCATTCACAGTGATCTTCCTGCCTCTGCCTCCTTCCTGCCTCCATGTCTGGACCAAAATAAATAAACAAGCTGTTGACACAAGGTATTGTAAAAATATGGGAATGTGTAAGAGTATAATCAAGCTAGAAAACTAGGTTTCTTTTATATAAATTTTAGATTTCAACCATACCTGGCCAAAAAGAGTTACTGTAATAATATGAACATGTTTAGACCTATAATCAAGTGTAGGAACATAGAGTTTCTTTTATGTAAATTTTAGGTGATTTTAAGTTTCTCATAAAAGAACTTTAAGGTTTTTTAATTTTATGTGTATGGCTGTTTTGCCTGCATGCATGTCTGTACATTGTGTGCATGCAGTACCTAAACCTGTCAGAAGAGGTAGTCAGAGTTAACAGACAATAGTGACTTGATGTAGGTGCTGGGAATTGAACTCAGGGCCTTTGAAAGAGCAGTCAGTGCTTTTAACCACTTCAGCCTCCAGCCTCCAGAATGACTTGCTTTAAATATTATTTGAATTGGTAGCTCTGTCCATGGAAAGTTTTATGTGATCTATATTAATATTTCATGTTGATTGAGCATGAAAATAATTTACAATGATGTGATTTGCTATGTTCAGCAAAGAAAGAAAGGATGTGAGAATATTTTTATACCTGTAACGGTTTTGAGGAGTGGATAGATTTTAGTTCTACTGACAAAAAAAGGAAATAGGCATCAGTGGTTAAACTGTTGAGAAGCACAAAGGTGCTAAGTGTTAAGCTTACCATAACAAACCCAACATGAGGCTTCTTGTTTTCATATTTTAGCTCAGTGACAGAAATATGTCAAAGAAGTGACTTGCAGAATATGTGATGGTATTTAAAAGGACTTCAGTAAGGCCTTCTGATTGCTTTTGATGTAGAAAGTAGAATTTAATATTTGTTAATTTTAGTGTCTTTTGTAGCTCATAATTACATAAGTCTTTAAATATTTCAGTTCCTCTTGTCGGAGGTATATATTAGTTGTTCATTTCCTTCCCTTATCTCCTTTTTCAAAACAATTTGAACAAATAGTCTAGATGGTTTATGGACATCCTTGAGGATCTAGGGAGAGTAGACAGCGCCTTTCACAAAATTAGTAAGATCACTGAACAAAAAGGCCGGAATCTAGAAACAGACTCTAACATATTTTGAGCTAAATATTTATTTATTTATTTATTTATTTATTTATTTATTTATTGTCTCTTTTATTTGTTTAGAAGGCAAATGGTTCCATTCAATGGTCACAGTCCTGCCTTCCTCATGCGTAAAGTGCACAGAACTGTTTTTATGATGACTAAAATGAGAGGAAGTGTGTTACGTGGCAGTGCTCTGGAGGGAGGCAAGCATTTTGAAAACCCAGTTTCTTTGTTGTTTCTGTCCTCTTCCTAGACTTTGCAAATATTTGTTACAAAGCATTAAAATTAGAGAAATGAAATTTTGAAAATGGTTGATTTAATGAAGAATTGGCACATGTATATTTAACTTAAATACAAGGCAAGTCCTGTTGCACATCTAATAGCAGAGTAATGTATACAGTGTGAATGAACAATAGGGTTAGCTTACCAGGAGGTGTTAGAACTGAGCTTGTTTATCAGAATAATATTTAATGGCCGTTGTGTGGGGATAGTTTTGAGGATAGGCTAAAATGGTGTTCCTTTCCATTTTCAGAGGTCTTGCTTTACCCAGCATGTATTGTAACAAGACTCAGACCATCAATTTGTTTATGATTTTGTATATGTGTATTTTCACGTACTTTATTTATTCTTATACTAGTCCTGTGAGCTAAGTAGTGCTGTGAGTTTAAAGATGAATTGCTGGTCCCAGGTTATGTAACCAGAAGAGTAAAGTGTGAGCCTTTTGTCTTGAAGTTTAGGCATTCTTTTCCAGTATTGGAAATAAAACCCCTAAAATTCAAAGCTTCATAGGAAAAAATAAAACCTTTTTTTTTTTTAACTTTTACCTTAGCAAAACCTCAACCAAAACCAGACTGCATCATAATCAGTCCAGAAAAGTAAATATTTACTTGATCTGTCAACTGTAGGTAGTTCTGTTTTGACATTAAATTTAATGTTCCCCCCACAAGTATGTTGTGATGAGATGGTGATGAAATTCTAAGTGCCAGAAATGGTGAATGGTAGGCACTGCTGATTGGGAGAGGGGAAGATCTAACTTGAAAGAACAGCAAAACCAAAGCTCTCTGCAGAGGGAGAGAAACAACAGCCACAATGGGTCTGTGGACTCAGAACATCACGGTTAGGACAAGCTGAGAATGATGGGGAAGGGGGGGCTGTTTTTACAGTGTGGTTGATAATTACATCTAGCTCACTGTGTGTGGAACGGGGTGTGGATGTTCAGGAGTTGATGTTATGAAGAGTGCATTGTGTTCTTTAAGCTGTTAAATAGATCACAATAGTATGAATTGAAGAGTTAGTGTTAGCTGTTGGAGAGACCTTGCAAAGAGTGACTGAGTTCCCATGTGTCTTAGGAATTACTAAGGAATCTGCATTGTTATGTATATCTCAACACCAATAATCCCATACTGAAGATGTTTTATGTTAGGGATTCGAGACATTTTCCATTATCACTGAGTTTTTACAAACTATTATGTACTTATACTTATTCCATTTTGCAAATGACAAGGTATTAAAATAGATTGTTCAGAGTTCAGAGCATGTAGCCTGTTGACAAACCTACTTTATATACTTATTATAATTTCAGAGTCCTTAACCTCGTCTCTTTCATTTTCTTACAGTAGGATTAAGATTGACTCTAAACAGGTGGTAGTGGTGCACGTTTTTAATCCCAGCATTTAGGAGACAGAGGCAGGGGGATTCCTGTGAGTTTGAGGCCAGCCTGGTCTGCAAAGCTTGTTTCAGGACAGCCAGAGCTGTTACACAGAAAAACACTGTCTCAAAAAATAAATAAATAAATAAAATAAAATAAAAAAAGACCCACTGTACTGCACCTTACAGTTTAGTATCCATGGCCACACAGTGCTCAAGGCTGTCATGCTTCCTGGTGATATTAGTTTCTCTGTTTTCCTGATCTCATCCAATAGTGCTTTGCCAGATATGACTGTTGGCTGAGGTGAGTTTCTCTTGTTGGGAGTCTACCTTTTCCCCCTATTGACAGTAAAGCCTTATTCTGTACAGTGAAAGCTATTTACATGTCTGAGTCCTCTAAATCCCTTGACATTCGTAGTTCGTAGTTAGAGCTAATATGATGCCTTGTATATGGTGCTTGATGAAAAAGAAATGTAGTGTCCTTGTGCTCAGGACCCAGCACTTCTCTGGCATGACAGACAGGTGCCCTACCATGGTGATACTTTTTGCCAACTTGTTATTAAACATAACCCCAACTTGTTAACAGTCATTTTTTAACCTTAGCAGTTCTCAACTCACCACACTTGAGTTTTTTAAAACAAAAACAGCAGTAAACAGGGCTGGTACAAATCATTTCCTCATTTGTTTCTATGCATAGATATGATTCCTTGTTCTGCAGAGTTGAGTGTGAGTCACTGATTGAGCTAAATTTGTTCAGTGTTTCAAGGACTGGGTAGAGGCACAGAAAGCATGAGTTAATATTTAAGAAGGCTTGTTTCACCTGATCATCACATTTGTGGGAAGTTATCATATCCCAGCAGTGTTGGTGACTATGTGCCAAGACTAATTAGGATGTTGCAGTAATCAGGAAAAAAAGTGTTGGTTCTCCAGAGTGCTTGTGTAGGTGGAGTTTTTCTGTCCTGGCAGCTGTTACATGTTTTGGGCAGGTAAAATATATACCATGTGTTTTGTAGATCTTTTAGGTTTATTTCTTTATATCTGTAGTCAGGATTATAGGGGGTCTTTCTTAATCAAACCTGATTTTCCTTTTTTTTGGGGGGGGGGGCTGAGGAGAATGGATCCATAGTTTTTCATTTCCTGTGGAAATAAAAGCATAACCTCTCCCCCAAAGTAATATATCTTTTGACTTAAATTTTGAAGTCAAGATATTTTTAAAATATATAGGTTGATTGATTCTAGCAGTTTTTATAATTCAGTATCTCTTATCAGCCAAAAACTTCAAAGACAACATAATAATATGTAGAATCCAGACTCTGCATTTTTTTATCTTTATGTGGTTTATTTTTATGTTTTATTGGAATATTATTTTAAAATTATATACATATGTATATTTATTATCTATACCTTCTCTTTTCTCTGCCAAACCTATGCATATTTTTAAACATACTGTAACCTATTTAGAGGATTGTTGGGGTTTTTTGTTTAGTTTTGTTTGTTTGAATCTGTCCTTTATTAAGCATCTATAAGCTTTTTTATCTGTATGAGTAAAATTTAGAACATGGTATATTGGCATGTTCTCTAACTCCTCCCTGTTAGTTCCCTGAGAGCCTGGTCTCGTGGTGGAAGTACATCTATGGCCAGTTCTGGGAGCCATATTTACCACCCCAACTCTGGGAAGTTTGTTGGATACATGCTGTCACCTAGTACAGCCTACTGCTCATAAACACCATTTTAAGTGTCTAGTAGTAAAGCCTCTTCAAAGACCTACACAGCTTTTGTCACTAGCATCCAGCCAGGAAGCCACCTCTTAAAGCAGAGCTCATCTGAGAAAATGCTGATACTGAGAAGCCATGCTTGATTGCATTCCTCTTTGCCCAGAATTTATTTTTTTAAGCCTTGTCAGGTCTTCTGTGGAAATTTCATGCCCCACATTGGGCGCCATTTGTAATCATAGTTTTCCTGTATCTTGGCAGCCATTTCCCAAATAACTATAATATTAATTGTAAATGCTCAATTGATAGCTCAGGCTTGTTAACTAACTCTGACGTTTAAATTAATCCATATTTTTTATCTGTGTCTTGCATGTGGCTTGCTACATTTTGTGTGTGTGTGTGTGTGTGTGTGTGTGTGTACACAGCATGTGCATCTTGCTTTTCTTGTATTTCCTTGTTACTCCCTGACTCTGCCCCCAATAGTGTGGTTGCTCTCATCTATACTTCCTGCCTGGCTACCTGCCAATCAGCTTTTTATTAACAACGAGAACACATTTTCATAGTGTACAGGATTATTCCACAGCATGTCTCAGACTTGTATAGACTGTTAAATACCCAAAGTAATGGATGAGACATCACTGTTCCAAAGTATATGGATAGCTTGTCAGATTGTCCAGGAAGAAACTGCCCAAACTGGATAGCTGTATGGTTATTTGCTTTCAGTGGCTATTTTATTTAGGGCATAAGAACTCCAACAGCATGCTTTTATTGCCTCACAGTCTGGGGCTTAAAAACTTACTTTACATTTTAAACTTTTTTCATGTTAAAAACTTAAAGAAAGAAAGTAGGGCAGGTTTTGTAAATGAGATTTTGACACTGAGCCATACGTTCAGTCACTTGGTTCATAAAGTGAAATAATCAAACTGGAATCAAAAGCCATATTTCTTTAAATCTGAGATCCCTTCTGCCATACTGTCTTCAGTTGGTAGGAGTAAGCTTCTAAAGCAGTGCCCAGACAAGGGTCATGTTTTTGAAACATTGATTTCTGTCATATGTATTGATGTGTGCTCTGGAGAACACATTGATTACTGTTGTGTGTGTGCATTTGTACTGAGGTGTGTTCTGGAGAGCACATTGATTTCTGTCGTGTGTACATGTGTACTGAGGTGTGTTCTAGAGAACACATTTATTTATGTCGTGTGTGCATATGTATTGAGGTGTGCTCTGGAGAACACATTGATTGCTGTCGTGTGTGTGCATGTGTACTGAGGTGTGTTCTAGAGAACACATTTATGTCATGTGTGTGCATGTGTATTGAGGTGTGCTCTGGAGAACACATTGATTGCTGTCGTGTGTGTGCATGTGTACTGAGGTGTGTTCTGGAGAGCACATTGATTTCTGTCGTGTGTGCATGTGTACTGGGTGTGCTCTGGAGAGCAAATTGATATCTGGTGTGTGTGTGCATGTGTACTGAGGTGTGTTCTGGAGAGCATATTGATTTCTGTCGTGTGCATATGTACCAAGGTGTGCTCTACAGAAGCACAGGACAACTTCTTGGATTCTGTTCTCTCCTTCCACTGTGCCTTTTATGAATCAGACTATTTTGAGGGAACGAACTATAGATTGTTGAAAAATCAGAATTAGTTATATGTTTCTTAGAATTTTCAAAAGAAGGAAAATTTGGAGTAGAGCCTGAGAAGTCAGGGAGTCTGACTCGGTTGTCACTATGTTATATTAGTATGTTAGGTCCTAATGTAACTGTTGACAAAGCTGAGAGTGTAACAGAGATAATCGCATTAGGACTTTTCTGAAAATGCTATGTTAGTCTGTAGCCCTTTTTTTCTCATGCTAGGTCCCAAATCTTTGAAGAAAACTTAAGAACATTTTAATTTTTATGAAAAGTGTAATGTAACATAGCTATCATAAAATTCAGAAGCTCTTAATTGTTCACAGAGACTATAATTTTAAGTATGTTAAAATTGCTAACTTTCAGGCTGGAGAGATAGCTTGGTGGATAAAATCATGCTTGCTCTCAGAGGACCGAGGTTTAATAATTTTTTTCTTAGTGGGGTATACCTGGTTGGTATACCTGGTTGGCCTGGAATTTCCTATGTAGACCAAACTGACCTTGAAATCTGCCTGCCTGCCACTGAGTTCTGGAATTAAAGATGTACACCACCACACCCACCAAGCTCCTTTAGTCTTTGCTTAAATAAAGTTGGTTGGGCTCTATTTTCTTTTGATTTTGAACACATCTGAAAAATAACTTGTTAGTCTTAGTATTTACAGCTGAAAAGAGAGACACTAGTTCAGAAAAATGAAAGCATATATAATTCTGCCATTACTAGTGAGAAAAAAATCTGAATTAACAATATTAGTATTTTGAGGTTTATGTATAATTTAGTGTTGAGCACATAGTTGTGGAGTTGTCTTGGGAGGGTTGAAGAAAATTAAATGGCAATGTATGACTAAGTTGGATGCAGCAAGGTGCTGTCTGTCTCACTGACATGACTTGACACTTGTCTTTCTTTCATTTCAAGTCGGAGCACCATAACATGGTGTGGGAAGTGAAGACAAATCAGATGCCTAATGCAGTACAGAAACTCCTGCTGGTGATGGACAAGAGAGCTTCAGGAGTGAATGACTCATTGGAGTTGCTGCAGTGTAATGAGAATTTGCCATCCTCTCCAGGATACAACTCCTGTGATGAACATATGGAGCTAGGTAAACAAACTTCATAGTTAACTTAAGAATCTTACTAAGATCCAGGTTAATTGCCATATTTAATTAGCTTCTTTGTCGTGCTCCCTAAGAAAGTATGTGAAGAGATTGTGAAATAGGGACTTTTAACATTGTCATCTTTCTGCTTTTCTTTTTAGTGTGTCCACTGGCCCATGTGTGTGTGCTGTAGAGGCCAGGGGACTGTGTTGATGGCTTCCTCTGTCGATTTCCACCTTACTCTTTGTTTACTCGGTGAACTCAGTTTTAGACTGGCAGTCCAGAAAGCATTCCCAGAACCCTCTTATCTAACTGCTCAGACACCATCAGGCAGTGTAGCAGGTCCAGTGATCCATCCCCCTCATCCTTGTGGAGGAGGTTCCCTGATTTCAAATATAGTTGAAAATAGTGTGAGCTACTTTATGAACTCACAGAGATTGAGAATTTGTTGAATAGTTTTATTTTGTGTACTCAGATCAGACTAGTAATACTTGAGCTTTGAAAACTCTTACCATGTGACTTGATACCTTCCCAATGAACTCTCTGCGATTGATCTGATAGAGAAGTGACAGTACCCATCAGACATCTGTAGTGATCATTGTTGATGAATGTCTAAGTTTATTAAGTAATGATTTTAAATCGTGGTGCTTGTAGACTGCTGTTCTGGAGCAGAGTTAATGAGCACCTTTGGCTTGCTGCTCAGCTTGTCACCATGCCTTTGTCTTCTGTAATTTGTGGTTGCCTTGAATGTTTATAGAAACTGAGAGGGTGTGGCTCGTGATTACCTTAGCTTTATAAATGATGATGTTGGTGATGCTTGGGAATTTGGCAGTCCTGAAGGTCTCAGGACATAATGCCTAACTTCAAGTACTACATATATTCTGGCTCCTAATACTTTTTGAGTAGCAGTTACTATTGAGCAAGGACTGACACTTTCGGCAACGGTTGGTTGTCCATCATTGTCACATGTCCAGAGAAAAACAGGCCAAGGTGCTTGCCGCACCCATCTGTGGCTTCATTTTAAAAGTAATTAATTTTCTGAATCTGAAAAACAGAAATAAAGCATTCATAATAAACAGTACTTTTAAAGGCAGGGTGTTGACAGTGATGTAAGGGATATAGTTATAGCAGCCTGAGCATTGGCAGTTAGAATTATCATGCATGGGTCTTGTACCTCATTTGTTCAGTGAAATAGATACTCTGTAGTTAGTGTTAAGAATGAATGGATAACCTGACTGACTTACTATTGACTAAGATGCTTTAGTTTTAGAAGTATACTCTGGAATATTTGCCTGCATATAGGCCTTTGTAGAGATACTTGGTTGAGTAAGAGAGGTTTTTGTATGTTTGAGGTTTTTTTTTTTCCTCGTGTGGTTTTGGGTATTTTTTTTTTTTTTTTTTTTTGTATTCTTCATTGTCATGGAGAAAGAAAACAACATAACATTTAAAACATGTGATATAGTGTGGTCACTATTACATAGCATTAGGCAAGATAATTAGTTTTCATAGAGGAATGGTACAGAACATTTGTTCTAGAATACCTCTAGGTTTTTTGATCTGTCTTTGGGGGATGCACGAGGAAAAGAATACCAGTAAATATAACTGGATTGAGAATTCCCATTTTTGTTGTGTTTGGATCTAGGGTCTCATTATGTTACTTCAGGCTGTCATTGAACTCAACCATATTCTACCTGTATCCAGCTTTTCAGTTGATGGTTGTCAGTCTTCACGAGCAGCTCCAGCTAAAACAAAAACTGAAAAAGACTTATGGGATCTATTCCATTTGCTTCTTTGTTGTTTTGAGTCAGTGTCTTGCTGTGTAGCCTAGGTTTTCCTCAAACTTGGAGTCTATCAGTCTCATCCTCCCAGATATTGGGATTTCAAGCATCAACCACCATACCCAGCTCAAAAAAGTTAACATAGATTTGTGTTGTCTTACTACCTAAAACTTGATAGTACCATCTCTGGTCTCATCTTTAGAAGTTGGTTTCAATATTGCAGTATTGTTTTTAACAGATTACTGAAATTTAGACATCACTATATGTACACATTAAATGTCTCTGTATTTATTAAGCTGTTAATGTAGGAACATGTCACTGGTATATAAATCACTCCTAGATAAAGTATAGAAAACAAACTGACCTCTTGGCATGGTTCAAGTAGTGAACAGTTGGTATACTCACATCCATTGTGTTATTTTCTCTCAAGCTCCCTAGACCCACATGTAGAGGTCTTTTTTTTTTTTTTTTTTTTTTAATTTCAAATTGTTTCTGTCAAGAAATTTATGAATTTTGAATTTAGTTTTTCCTCAAAAATAGTTAAATTTGTGTATTCCTAACTAAAGTTACTGTAGTAATATTTTTAAAAAACAATCTTGTATTATTACCAGATGACCTTCCTGAACTTCAGGCTGTTCAAAGTGATTCTACTCAATCTGCCATATACCAGCTAAGTTCAGATGTATCTCATCAAGACTATCCAAGATCATCTTGGAACCAGGATACCTCAGACATATCGGAAAACACTCACCGAGAAGATGAGGTGGATTGGCTGACAGAATTAGCAAATATTGCCACTAGCCCTCAAAGTCCTCTTATGCAGTGCTCGTTTTATAACAGGTAGGAACGCTGGGCATGTCTTCCGTTTAAACTGGTTTCATAAGGACTGGTATGTTGGTTCAGTGGGTAAAGAAAGGACCTTGCTGCCAAGCCTGAAGGAACAAATCTGCAAGTTGTCCTCTGGTCTTCATGCGTGCTATAGTGCATGTGCACACACTTATGAATTAAGAAGAAACTTAAACTTAATTTCAAAAAGCTGTTATTTTAAAATCTCCTAATTTTATGATAATATATTAGCTTCCTAATGGGCGGTTAATTTAACATTTAAAGTCAATAGAATTAACATCTATATAATGATCAAAGATGATGTCATTGTTTGGAGAATTAGGTGACAATGTGTGAGAAAAATAGCCTAAAATACTTGTGTTTACAAATCAAAAAATTAGTTCAAGGAATAAATTTTTTTATAAATTTTTACTTTTAGAAGTAAAAATCTTATTTGTTTAAAGAACTATATATAGTTAATTAAAACATTTTAAACTTATCAACTGTACATTTGACCCATTGTTCTATATTTTCCACAGTGTGTGTAAACCTTATCTTTGCCAATTCTAAGGTTAGTTAATCTTAAAATAGGTGCTAGAGAGGTGGCTCAGTGGTTAATAGCACTTGTTCTTTAGAGGATCCAGGTTTGATTTCCAGTACCTGCATGGTAGTTTACAACCATCCCTCTGTAATTCCAGTGCCAGGGGATCTGATGACCTCTTCTGACCTCCTTGGGCACCACACATGCACATGGTACGGACTCATGGCAAAACACTCATTAACAACATACACGTAGTGGAGATAAATCTAAACATAAAATAAATTTTAAAAAACTTAAAGTAGATGAGAGTTCCAGTACTTCATGTATCAAGACCAAAGTTTTAAGAAAATGGGTGGATCTGTGGTGAAACTATGGAAAATCCTAGCTGATATTCCTAGAAGACTTTAATTGGTATCGTTTCATTAAATATAGCTGAATAGCTTGGAGAAATGCCCCATCTTCATTATGTTGGTATAAAAACTAGACTAGGATTCACTAGGTAAGTAGGAAGACTCTAACTTGGGTATAGTTCCCAAGTTGTAGAACACTTTTGCCATAGCATAGTTGTCTTGCATCCTGTTAAGGTACATTCTGCTTTTCTATTTTGCATGGGAATTGGTTATGATAGATCATTTAAATTCTGTGTAAATTTCCATAGGAAAGAAAACATTTCTTTCAGAGTATCATTTTCTTTATATTCCTACTTTCCATGGTAATGTTTAACCTAGGACACTGTGCATGCTAGGAAAGAACTTTATAATAAGCTTCATCCTAGTGCCTTTTCTACAGCCATACACTTTTAAAAAACAAATCCTGATTTAAGTGTTGCCCCTCCCTCTAACTGGAATTAGAAGATGGCGGTTTCATCTTCATTTTGGTCTTACAGTTTATAAAAAGGCTGGAGATGACAGCTCTGTAGAATAGTGCTTACTGGGCATGTGCAGAGTGAAAACCTGAGTTGCACCTGTGGTACTGCAAAGAAAGGAATGGTGGGGGAAGCTCATGGGAAGTCAGTAGACTTTCCTGAAGAAAATGAGTGTAAAGATAGAAGAGAGGGACTGTGTTTGGGGCTGTCATTTTATTCTTGGAGGCATTTTGTGTGCTATTCATCACAGTGGTGCTCTGCTTTCTCCCCTGCTTTCCATCATTGTTAGTGGCTATTGGTGCAGTACTTACAGGGCATTAAGTATTTTAGTTATTGAGGGTTGGATGTCTAACATGTCCTGTAGTACTGGTTATAGGGAAAGGGTATTATTTAGTGTGTTCTTGGGAGCCTTATCTACTTGAAAGAGCATTGTTCAGGACAGAGACTTAACCAAGGGAAAGGAAGGAGAAGGGGTCAAATTGTTCTTGGAGGACAGGGACTGGACTATTAGTGTGTAGTTGCCTTATAAGTGGCCACTAGGCTGCTTACTGTTAGAGTTTTTCCTTAAGGCACTTCATTTCTACTCGGTCATACATGGTTGCTGGACATTTAGTATATTCATTCCATGCTGAGTGGGAAAAAAAAATGGATGGGTATTTCCTTCATGATAATAAACACGTCTGTCTGTATTAGGATAAAAGAGATGAGAATTGGGAATGTTGGACATGTCTGCAATCCCTGACCTTGGGACAGGAAAATTCTGAATTTGTGGCCAGTTTGGACTACAGAGCTATCTAAATTTTAAAAAGTTGTAAAGGAATGCAATGAATATGTGATAATAGCACTTTAGCATATATTAGTAAATTTGTATGTGAAGAGAGTTTATGATAAGTTAAAGGGACAGCATGCTATTGCAATGCAATCTTACTGTCTTCACTAGTGTTTTCTATAGTTGCCGCATGTGTAATTGTTGGCACTCTTGTTTCTATCATGAGAAAAGGTACTCTTTAAGGGCCTACACTGTATAGTAAAACTGCGCTTTATTTTAGATCACCTCCTGTACACATCATAGCTACTAGCAAAAGTTTACATTCCTATGCACGCCCACCACCAGTGTCCTCCTCTTCAAAGAGCGGGCCAGCCTTTCCTCATGACCACTGGAAGGAAGAAACCCCAGTGAGACATGAACGGGTAAGTCTCCATGAGGTTAAATTCCTACAAAGTTTATATAACAGTCAAAAAATACTACCTTTCCCCCATCTAAGATATTCTTTTGGAGAATACAGATGGACAAAAATATTTCATTGTTATATGCATTTGATTTTGTATTAGCTTCTTGTGTTAAGAAAGTTTGATAAAAATGACAGTATTTAACTAAAACTTATTGAACATATATTTTTCTTAAGCTTACAATTACATTGTTTGGAAGCTTGAGTTAAAAATAGGTATTAAGAGATGTTTAAAAAAAAATAACAGTTTGTTTCTCTGTGTAGGCAAACAGTGAGTCAGAGTCCGGCATTTTCTGCATGTCTTCCCTGTCTGACGATGATGATCTGGGCTGGTGCAATTCCTGGCCTTCAACTATTTGGCACTGTTTTTTGAAAGGTAAAGAAATCTTAAATGTTCAGTAGCTGGCTTGGGTAACACACTCACCAGTCATATTATCTGATCTCGTCTTTCTCATTCACTCTAGGCACGCGACTATGCTTCCATAAGGAAAGCAGTAAGGAATGGCAAGATGTTGAAGACTTTGCTAGAGCCGAAGGCTGTGATAATGAGGAAGAGATTCAAATGGGCACTCACAAGGTTCATTCATTTAAAACCCTTCTAAAGAATTTTAAAATCAAACTTCAGGGTTAATCTGCGGGCCTCTGCTTGTATATCGTTTAAATGGCACCTTGCATTCTTAGAGCAATGCCTAGAGAGGTCGATGGGATCATGGCTGTGAAGATGGGGTAGTCTCTGTTGCTTAGCACAGTTATGCTTTAAATGCGTATGTTCTGGAAAACTAAACTGGCATTAAACAAATAGTAAACTAATTAAAACTTTAGGTTCTCGGTGTATGATGCAGTTAATTTCCTCTGCAGTCAGCTGGGAGTTTGTTGTCACTAATTCACCACAGCTAACTATCATTTTCTTTATTGATGCATTAAAAAAATAAAGGTAGTGAGCAACCAACATTAGGATAAATATCTGTTGATACATTGCCCTGACTGCCCTGACTGCCCTGGAACTCACACTATAGATCAAGCTGGCCTTAAACTCAAGAGATCTGCTTGCCTCTGCCTTCTGAGAACTGGGATTAAAGAAATGTGCCACCACAGCCCAGCAACACATTTTACTTTTAAAACTTGTAATACTACAGGCTGAATAAAGAAATAAACACTAGAGAATATAAAAAGTGCTGATAAAGCAGGGTGTTGGTGGCACATGCCTTTAATCCCAGCACTCAGGAGGCAGAGGCAGGCGGATCTCTGTGAGTTCAAGGCCAGCCAGGTCTACAGAGCTAGATCCGGGACAGGTTCCAAAGCTACACAGAAACCTTGTCTTGGGTAAGAAAAATGTACTGATTGGAATTCCTTTTTGGAGCCTGTCTCCTGTTGAATTTCTTGAGAAAAAGTCTTAATTTGACTATCTTGAGTATAGTGTCCTCATCTTAATATTCCTCTTCAATTGGTAAAGTGTAGTTTGACTTTGGCTTCTCTTCACAAAAAAAATGTCTTGTAGTTTGAAATCTGCAAGATTTGCTACATTGTGTTAGTCCCTAACATTCTCTTCCCTTAGTCTGTACATTGGCAGCATCCCAATTCTCAAATTTTTTGACTCTTGCCGGCAATGTAAGCATTCTTCCTCCTTGCAGTCTGTCTGACAATAGTAGCAGCAGCACCCCCTTTCCTCCCTATCCCTCCCTCTTTCTTTTTAAGACAGGATTTCTCTGTAGTTTGGAGCCTGTCCTGGAACTTGCTCTGTAGACCAGGCTGGACTGGAACTCAGAGATCTGTCTGCCTCTGCTTCCCAAGTCTGGGCATGCACCACACCACCACCCAGCCCTCCACTGGGCTGTGGCTTTCTACCTAATCTGTAGTTTTAGATCAGATAAAAGTCTTATAACCATTTTTTTGTTTTGTTTTTTGAATTTCTACCTGTTCCTTTAATCTTGATGATCAGATTCAAAAGCAAGTTTACTATTTCCATAAGGATTTTCAACATTTTTTTCTCTCAGTCATTATTCTGTTCATCCAATAGTATGAAATTGTTGTAGCTAGCCATGGTAATGTTTCTTTTTCTATGAATGCAAGGATAAGCATTGTGTTTTGTTCATGTCATCTACAAGCCGGGCATGTACTACTCAGTAAATATACATTGATTTTAAATTTCATTTGGTTCTTCTATCATTAATTGTCAACTCAAGATGTACAGTGAGTTTCTTATAACCTCAAATAATTATTAAAACATAGGGGCTAAATTGATAGAGTACTTGCTGCTGCTGCTGCAGCAGAGACTAGCACATGGGCATATACAAATACACATAGATTTTTAAAAATAATTAAATATTTTTAAAATTAAATATTTTTAAAAATAATTAAATATTACATTCTTCTCTTTCTGTGTCATCATCATTTTGAAATTGACAACGACATTAATAAAAACACTCCATTGGCTTCCTAACACCTTCTAAGTGTAGTTACTTTGCCTATCTTACTCTATAAAGGGCCTGTTTTTAATTTAGCTTTATTTACCTAAGTCTAAACTACCTTTTTCTTTTTTTTTAAAGCAAATACTTAAAGAATTTCCATCTCACTTAAATGAAACTGAAAGTCCTTTGTCTCAGAATTAGTATTTGTTTACTAAACTTGATTATACTTTTTTATTTTGGTTAAAATGCATATTCCAGTCTGCCATATATCATGTGGGGATCTGTATATGTGTTTCTTTGCTACTGGGTTTGAAAGTGCTTTAAAGCTGAAGATACTAAGTTTTTCCTCCAGTCATGACACATGTTGGGAATTTCACTGTGTTGAGTTGAACATTTATAATTCATTTACTCAATTCATATGCTTATATGCTTTCAGGGCTATGGTTCTGATGGTCTAAAGTTGCTATCCCATGAAGAGAGTATATCATTTGGTGAGTCTGTACTCAAGTTGACTTTTGATCCTGGTACAGTAGAAGATGGCTTGCTTACTGTGGAGTGTAAGCTGGACCACCCTTTCTATGTTAAAAATAAAGGTATGGTTTCAATTGTATTTGTACTAACTTTACTATTATTTTCATGTATATCTGCATGGATATCAGATCCCCTGGGACTAGAGTTACAGGTGGCTGAGAGCTGCCAGTTGAACCCCAGATCTCTGGAAAAGCAGTCAGTACTTTTAACTGCTGAGCCATCTTTAGCCCTGAGTTTATAAAACCTTTAAAGAAATCTTCTTATACCTGTTTTATGGCTTTAATGAATAAGATAAAAATGAAAATTATTTAAAGCCAAATAAAATTACAAAGGAAGTTTTTCTAATTATACTTAATAGTGTTTAGGTATCTTTGCCATAATCATGTCCCTGTGTATTTGAGAAATTTCATTCACCCAGCATACTGTAAGCTCTCTGTTTAGTATAATGTGGGGAGTAGCATCCTTGGTAATTACATTTTTTTGTTTGTTTGTTTGTTTGTTTTTTGAGATAGGGTTTCTCTGTGGCTTTGAAGGCTGTCCTGGAACTAGCTCTTATAGACCAGGCTGGCCTTGAACTCAGAGGTCCACCTGCCTCTGCCTCTTGAGTGGGTAATTTTTGTTTATAGTTACCAAGTAGGCTGTAAGCCGCAGTTAATCTTTAGAGCTTTACTACAAAAATATCATGTTAAGCATAAATTGTAATTCACAGGCTAGTGTATAGCTTCATTATTTATCCCTTAACTGTTTCTGCAGATGGATAGAAGTGCTGACTGATGAGATATTCATAAATAAAATACTGAATTAACTAGTTTCAGGGGCTTTTACATAGCTAAAACAAAATATTTAATCTAGTGATTACTTATTTTAAAGTCAGAGACTTTAGAGTGCTTTGTGTTATGTCTCACTATCTATTGTTTAACTTTAGGTTGGTCATCATTTTATCCAAGCTTGACTGTGGTACAGCATGGCATTCCATGTTGTGAAATTCATATTGGTGACATATGTCTACCTCCTGGACACCCTGATGCCATTAATTTTGATGATTCAGGTGTTTTTGATACATTTAAAAGGTAATAGTGCATTTTTTTTTCCTGTTAATGTTTATTCTCTAGTGATTGCTGAGTCAAAGTTGAAGATAAGGTTTCAAGAATTTAAAAAGGGCTAAGGAAATAGCCCAATAACTAAAACCATTTGCCGTACAGGCATGCCTGTTCCTAGAACCCTTGAAATGCTGGGTGAATAGTGACCTGTCTAATTTCAGCACTGGGAACAGGAAGACAAGAGGCCAGAGAAGCCAGCTGGTTCTCTATTCAAGCCTTGGAGCACTGGGTTCAGTTGAGGGATACCACCTCACCACCTGGAATAGGGTAGAGAGTAGCTGAGAAAGACTCAAGTCAATTCTTGTAGATGAGATAAAATCATGTAACTAACTCTGTAACTGAATTGTTCATGGCAACAAACAGGCCATATTGGTGTTGCTAAATTGGATTTCATTACTTATATTGTGATAGAACCAAACATTGGGATTCTTAACCAGAACATGAATGAACCCTAACTACACATTTTAATGAATTGTATCAATTTAAGAAATAACTTTTAGCTGGGCAGTTGTGGTGCACTCCTTTTTTCCCACCTCATGGGAGCCATAGGCAGGTGGATCTCTATATGAGTTCCAGAACAGCCAGAGTGGTTACACACAGAGACCCTGTCTCGAAAAGCCAAAAAAAAAAAAAAAAAAAAAAAGTTAACTTTTAAGTAAAAATTAATCTGAGAAATATATATATTGCCTCTAATAGACTTAGATTTTATTAACTATTTGTGGCAGGTGTCCCTGGTACTGCCCTACTTTCAGTGATGTACTAGGAAGACAAGAAACAACCGTGCTTGTGTTCTTCATGGCCACAGCGTATTATGGCAGAAGGATACCAAAGCACAGTCAGTAGAGGGCACATCCCAGCAAAGGTGAAAAGCCAGGCTCAGCTTCCGGGAATGGATAGTACAAACATAAATGTTTTTGCCAGAGAAGTTTGTTAGACTTTCAAGATGTAGGGTTTTTATTGAGATCCTGGCCAAATAATATTGCCTTCCTTGCATGTACTAACATTGCAGTTTTTAAACAGTAACTGGGTGTTCATATCTCAGACCCAGGTAGGGATTCTTCCAAGTTGTTGGAATGAAATTCAAGTTCTAGATGCCAGTCAAGGATCTGTGCTGTGAATAGACTGTTGAAAGTGCAGTAGACAGGCCTGTAATGTCATTTTACACATACACACCATTGTTGTGTTCTCAAAACCTAAGAGTGCTTCTCTGGGGGACAAATGCACTGTGTTAGCAGTGTTAGAACCTTTTTAGAGTAGAGTTCACGGCTTAGTTTATCCTTCATAACTTGGACATTGCATTGTATCAAACTTCATTTTTTTTTTAGGCAAAAAGGGAAATTTGGCTGTTCAGGTCTTGTTTTTCTAAGATAGCAAGCTTTCATTTCTCACTCTTAGTGTTGCTGTTACTTAGTGAGAGCAGATGAGTTCATCTGGAAGACCTTAGCCATTAGTCTCATTTACTGTTGAGTGACCATAGTGTGATAGCAGTGCCTCTTCTTCTACAGTAGGTAGTTAATTTTACCAAGGTGGCAGAGGTAAGATTTAAGCCCTATGAAAATTGTGTATGGTCACATACTCTACAATCAATTTAGAATGCACTTTAGATACTATTGGGTACCTCTTTTCTTCCAGTCTTCTGAAGGAAGCGGGTTGATGGTAGTTAGGTAGTGTGCTAGAAGCATGACTCATAGCTGGCCTGCTTGCCTGGCTGCCTGCACATTCTGATGCTGCACTAAGCTAGCTCTGGAAGCTTAGGTAAAGTTAATTCACTTTTCTATAGTGGTTTTTCTAACCATGAAACTAATGTAGTGATTTAAATACTGATTATTTTAAACTGAATTCGCTAGTACATATGACTTGATTAATAGATTCTACATTATTGTCGAGTTTGCCTTTAAGAGTAATGACTAGAGGGGTGGAAAGATGGCTCAGTAGTCAAGAGCACTTCCAGACAACCCAAATTCTGTCCGGAGCACCCACATGTGGTGGCTAACAGCTGTCTATAACTCCAGCCCCAGTTTGCCTCTGGCCTCCATAAACATCTGCACACAGTTAAAAGTAATAAATTAATCTTTAAAAGAAGAGAGTAATTAAACATGAAGGGGTTTGAGGAATGACATGTGCTAAGATAAAAGGTAGGAACAGATGCTTATAAAGAGGGGCTAGCAAAACATTTAAGCTATCTATGAAGCTTAAATCCTGGATACTGTTACTGAGTGTATGAAACTGACCCAAGTTGTATCCACAAAGAAAGTAGATGACAGATTTCTGCCACTAGATGGTGGAACTTGCAAATTTTAGTAACTAGCTTACTCCATTGGTGTTTTAGATGATATTCACTTTCTTCAGTAGAAGTGAACAGTTATGCGCTAACTTTGATAGTTTTCTAAATTTTATTTGGTAGGGCCTTAAAATATTTTATAAAGCCTTTAGCACATGCCAGTTCTGAACATGGACTTTGTACTTAGTAGTTTTCAGTACATTTATTTCATGTAATACCATTTGAAAGAAGACAGTATGAGGCTGCCTTTTGTTTTGGTAAAAGTACCTTTTACCATTTGCAGTTAAGGCTGTGGCTCCTGCTTTGCTCGTTTGGCGCTTTTTTGCTTAATGGTTTTCTGATCTTTTATTATTTCTACTTTGATGTAGTACCCAGAATTTCTGTTTGAGAGAAAGTTCTTGATAAAAGTCAAATAAAAGGTTTTGTGCTGAGAAGAAAACAAAGAAGAGTTCACTGAATTTGAGGATCCTTTTATGGTGCATCTTTAGGCTGTGATCTATATTAGCTTCAATTTTCAGCTAGTGTTTTAATTAATATGGTGACTGCTTGATTATTCTTGAATTTGGCCGTTGGAATTGTGAAAGTACTGGGAGTGTGGGTGAGGAAATCTGGGCTTTACATCCTAGGCATTATCCTAGGTTGAATGACAAACTTTGTATCTTTGGCTGATCTCTCTCTCTCTCTATGAAAGGGGCCAATGAACTCCCCTAAGCCCAGGCTTGCTGAAGAGTGGGACTATGGATAGTTGTTTGGGTGATTTTAAATTGAACTTACATCAAAATGTTGCCTTTACTGATAAGGGTGGGTTAAGATACTAGAGGACCTGTATATATTAGAGACCCATCTGCCTGAACCTCCTTAACACTGGGAGTTCTGGGCTGAATGCCCTTCTCAAGCTGGCTTTTATCTTCCAAAGTAGTTAGTGCTCAGGCCTGGAATACTCCCCACTCCATTTTAGTTTCCTAGGTCCAGAATCTTCTAGGCACGGAATGAGATTAATTTTTAACAAATTTTGTTAAAAAATGAATGTAGAAGAATCAAGGGCAGATACGGGGTGTGGGAAGGAGTTACCAGCTGTGAAGGACATGTGCCGGCTGTGACTTTCCTGGGGCTTAGAGGTTGGCTTTTAAAGCAGTTTTCAGTTGCATGCACGAGGTTTCCTTCTAAGCGTCAGTGAACTGCTAAAGGAATGCTGGCGATGGCATGGCATAAGAAGCAGTGAACTTTTCAAGCACATGAGAGGTTTATAAAGTGTTCAATATACTACTGTGGGTCTAATTGAGCGGTGTGTTTGTTGATTTTCTAGCTATGACTTCACACCTATGGACTCTTCTGCAGTCTATGTTTTGAGCAGTATGGCCCGTCAGCGCCGTGCTTCTTTGTCGTGTGGAGGACCTGGCAGTGCTCAAGAGTTTGCAGGCTCTGAATGCAGTAAAAGCTGTGGTTCACCCGGGTCAGCACAGCTGTCCTCTGACTCTCTGTATGCTAAAGCTGTCAAAAGCCACAGCTCAGGGACTGTGAGTGCCACTTCTCCTAATAAGTGCAAAAGACCAATGAACGCCTTCATGCTTTTTGCCAAAAAATACAGAGTTGAATATACTCAGATGTACCCAGGGAAAGATAACAGGTAAGTAGTAATGACCTGAATACAGTTACTGACAAGTTAGTGCAGTTCACAGTAACTTCAGAAGCTCTTGTTGATTTCTTTCCATTTTCCTAGGTTGGCTTTTAGATACATTGTTTTTTGTTTATTTAAATTGTTTTTCATTTTATATATCAACCCCAGTACCCCTCCCTCCCTTTCTTCACCCCCACCTCCTTCCGTCCCAACCTCCATCCATTTCTCAGGGGGGGTAAGGCCTCCCTTAGGGAGTCAACAAAGTCTGGCAGGGCTAAATCCCTTTCCCCTTGTATCATGGCTAAGCAAGGTATCCAACCATAGGGAACGAACTCCAAAAAGCCAGTTTATGCCCCTAAGAAAGTCCTGGTGTCACTGTCATATGCCCTCCTCCCCCCAAACAGATCAAGTCACATAACTGTCAACCACATACAGAGGGCCTAGTTCTATCCCATGTAGGTTCCCAGCTGTCAGTCCAGAGTCCCAGAGCTCCCACTAGCTTAGGTCAGCTGTCTCTGTGGTTTTTCCCATCACAATCTTGACTCCCCCTTGCCCAAATGATCCCTCCCTCCTCTCTTAAACTGAAGCCCAGGAACTCAACCAAAAGCTTGGATGTGGGTCACTGCATCTGCTTTCATCAGTCACTGTGTGTAGGTTCTTTTTAATAAATTTTTATTTAACTTAAAAACAATCATACCAATCCCAGTTCCCTCTCCCTCCCATGCCCCCCCATCAACCCCCCATCCAACCCCCATCCACTTCCCAGGGAGAGTGAGGCTTCCCATGAGGGATCATCAAAGTCTGTCAAGTCATTCGGGACAGGGCCTAGGCCCTCCCTGTGTATCTAGGCTGGGGGAATATCCCTCCATAGGGAATGGGCTCCCAAGTGGATAAATACCGATCCACTTGACCAGCAGCCCCATAGACTGCCCAGGTCTCTCAACTGACACCCACGTTCAAGGGGCCTGATGCAGTCCTATGCTGGTTACCCAGCTGTCAGACTGGTGTCCATGAGCTCCCACTTGCTCAGGTCAGCTGTTTCTGTGAGTTTCCCCAGCCTGGTCTTGAGCACTTTGCTCATCACTCCTCCCTGTCTACAATTGGATTCCAGGAACAGTGCTTGGCTGTGAATCTGTTTCTGTTTCAATCGGCTACTGAGTGAAAACTCTATGGTGGTATTTAAGTTGAACAGATGTCCTTGGGTATATGCCTAAGAGTGGAATTGTTGGGTCTTGAGGTAGACTAATTCCTGAGAAACCACCATATTGATTTCCAAAGTAGCCACTTTGAACCCTCACCAGCAGTGAAGGAGTGTTCCCTTTTCTCCACATCCTCTCCAGCATAAACTGTCATTGCTGTTTTTGATTTTAGCCATTGTGACAGGTATAAGATGGTATCTGAGTTGTTTTGATTTGCATTTCCATGATGGCTAAGGATGTTGAGCACTTTAAGTGCCTTTCAGCCATTTTAGATTCTTCTAATGAGAATTCTCTATTTAGTTCTGTACTCCACTTTTAAATTGGATTATTTGGTGTTTTGGTGACCAGCTTCATGAATTCTTTGTATATTTTGGAAATCAGCCCTCTGTCAGATGTGTGGTTGGTGAAGATCTTTTTCCATTCTGTGGGCTGCTGTTTTGTCTTGTTGACTGTGTATATGTAAGTTCTATAATAGTGTGTTCATCGGTCTGATTACAAGAGGCGGCTAGGCTAGTTCAGGTACTCTCTCTGCTATTGCTAAGTGTCTTAGCTGGGGTCATCCTTGTAGATTCCTGGGAATTTCTCTAGCACCAGGTTTCTCCCTAACCCCATAATGGCCCCCTCTGTTGAGATATCATTGCTCTCCCTCTTTGTCCCTCCCCCAACTCGACCATCCCCTCCCCTCTACTCCCCAACCCTGAGTTTACTCAGGAGATCTCATCTATTTCCCCTTCCCAGGGTGATCCATGTGTCCCTCTTAGGGCCCTCCTTGTTACCTAGTGTCTCTGGAAGCTATGGATTGTGGTCTGGTTGTCCTTTGCTAGTTTACATCTAGCATCCACTTAATGAATGAATACATACCATGTTTGTCTTTCTGGGTCTGGATTACCACACGGGATGATTTTTGTTCTAGTCATGATGTCAGTTTTTTTACTGAGGAGTAATACTCCATTGTTTAGATATACCACATTTTTCTTGTCCATTCCTTTCCAGGTTGTGACTATTATGAATAATGCTGCTATGAATATAATTCAGCAAGTGTGATTGAGCATCTCCTTTGGGTGTATGCCCAATGGTGGTATTGTTGGGTCTTGCAGATACATTGTTTTTATAATACATAGGTTATACAGATTACCTTCCTGACAAGGGTCTCCTTTTGAAAGTAAGTTAAAATTACCTGTTGGAACACCTGAGGTTTTAGAAAAGACTGGCATAGTACAGTACTTCCTTGTGTCAGATTTAGAGGATTTTATATAACTGAGTCTTACTATTGGACATTGGCAAGTTTATACAAACAAGCTCTCAGATTTGTCGAAAGAGCCAGTGGAACTTAAGTCCTGTTGGCTGTTGCCTCACTTGCCTCAGCATCATGCTATCCATCCAGTTCAGTATGTGCTCACATGCTAAAGGTGTCTTCTTGCAGTCTTCCTATTTCTCTTAGAGTCAACATCACTATTTCCTTTGACTTTGGGATTATAAATCAAAAGACTAGAACTTTAATTCTGATTGTAATGTGTTAATGCACTTAATTCTAAATACTGCCTGCATTTCAGGAAGAAGCTTTGCATCACAACTGCATATAAGTTGATGTGTTTGTACAAAATGGCCTTGTCCTAGTATTTGGTTATTTCTTTAGAACTGGAATTGAGGGCAGCCAGAGCTAAGTGGTGAGACCCTGTAAATTTTGTAAAAATTCATATTGGACATAGTCTCTGGTCAAGAGGATGTAGTAGCTTGGCAGAAAACATACTTGTAACATTGAAAAGCATTTTAAGACTAACTTAGTACAACTCTTCTCCCCCCTGCTCTGTGGTGGCCATCTGGGAGATTTCATGACAGGTGCTTATTAGAGTCAGTACTTGTGTCCTTGTACTATATTAACCAGCCTTTCTAACAGTCTAGTGCCAGTCGTTCTTTTAATTCTGGAGGAAAGGACTTGCCTAAGAGTAGATGTTTCATTGTCATTTGTTTTCTTATTTTAGGATCTCTTTCATCAAAGATACCTCACATATGGCTCATAATTATTCCTTTGCATTTCAGTATTGTTGCCATGTGATTGATGCATCAGTAGACATCTAACATGAAAGAAAGTCTGAAAAAGAATACTGTGGAATTTTTTCCTTCTGTAGAGGTTGATCTTTATCCCATGAATAAAGAAGTTCTTATTTAGGGGCAGAGTGTAGCCTAAAATAAGTAGGTTAGAGAGATACTTAGCCAGATGGCATAAACATTAGTCTAGCTGAAAAAATTGTGAAAGGAAAAGGAGTACAGATTCTAGTGTTCAGCATTGTATACATCATACTACCCATCATGTTTTAACTTAAGAAGAAACTAACACCCAAAAACATTCTAACTTGGGAAACTGAGACAGGTCTGTGCCTATTTCATAAGTAAAATGTAGCACATCCAGTCACTTTCACACACTTTATTTAACAAGACTCCCGTGGTTACTGTCTTTCTGAAGCATCAATGTACCATCTTTGTCAATTAGTACAGACATTATGTTTATACACTGTGGTTACCCAGGATGTTGTTTGTTTTTGTTCTTTTACTCTCTGGGATGTCTGCCACCCAGCTCCCAAATAAATCATACATGGACGTTTATCCTTATGAATGCCCAGCCTTAGCTTGGCTTGTTTGTAGCCAGCTTTTCTTAATTATCCCATCTACCTTTTGCCCCTGGGCTTTTTCCCTTTCTTACTTTGTCTTATTCCATGGCTTGCTATATAGCCAGGTGGCTGACCATACCCTGGAGTCCTTCTCCTCCTCTGGCTACTTTTCTCCCAGATTTTTCCTTCTATATATTCTCTTGGCCTGCCAGCCCCACCTATTCTTTTCCTGCCTTGCTATTGACCATTCAGTTCTTAATTAGTCCATCAGATGTTTTAGACAGGCAAAGAATCACAGCTTCAGAGTTAAACAAATGCAAATGCAGCATAAACAAAACTGATACACCTGAACATAATATTTTATAACACTGAGACTCTTGCATAAATGAGTGCCATGAATGGCTAAATGTTGTTATTGGAAGGAAGTGATTTATATCTGTATGTTCTGGATGAGATCACTTTAATAGCTTTGGTACTTGAATTACCAGGAAAAATAGGAAAATGTCACCTTGCCTCCCTCTTACCCTTTTGAATGTAATTCAGAGTCTCTCTCACACTAAGTACAAATTTGACTTAAAGTGTAGTTTTTTATCATTAGACATAAACTAAGGCAAAAAGGTCTTTCTCACTTGGCTTGCATTTGTGTGGGGAAAATTTTTTTTAGCATAACTGTGACAGTCTGAGTAGCTATGCACAGATTAAGTCCTTAATACAAGTTGACTGCCTTATGCTGCCAATACTGAACTTTTCTTGGGAAATATCCAGTTTTTAACCATTCTGGATGTCTTGGAACAAATATTAATTCTGGCACTAACCACCCAAGATTCCGATAAATGGATCCTATGACAGGATTTTGCTGAGGTGACTGTGATGGCCCTTCCCTATGTTTTTTATATTTTTGTCTGAAGTAGCAGCAGTTGGTACTCGTGTATGGAAAGTTTACATTATGTTAATATTTATTTTGCAGAGCCATTAGTGTCATCCTTGGTGACAGGTGGAAAAAGATGAAGAACGAGGAAAGGAGGATGTACACATTAGAAGCAAAGGCTTTGGCTGAAGAACAAAAACGTTTAAACCCTGACTGTTGGAAAAGGAAAAGAACCAACTCAGTATGTTAGCACTATCTGCTCTAACGTGCTGTGTGCCCTGTGTGCTGGCATGTCAGAGCCTTTAAAGATGCCTCACCATCATCATGCGTCAGACCTAGTAATGTTTTCAGAGCATATCAGCAAAGTCTGCCCTTTTTAAAATCATCATCACGAACCATGTAGGATAAGCAGAAATCTCAAACTAGCTTAAGAATGTTCTAAGTGCTAAGGTAGAAGATAGTTTTGGAATATAGTAGTTCTAATTTGGTTAAAAGATGGACACTAGGCTGGGCAGTGGTGGTACCTGCCTTTGATCCTAGCACTTAGGAGGCAGAGGCAAGTAAGTCTCTGAGTTAGAGACCAACCTGGTCTATAGAGAAACTGTCTTTAAAAAAAAAAGAAAATGAAAATGGACACCATTAACTTGATTCTTAACATTATGGTAAAAAAAAATTCTCTAGTTCTTGGTGTCTTGCCTTAGACTTATTAGACTTACTCAGTAACATTTTGCCACTGACAAAAACTGCTAGATGAATAATCTGAAGAAATAAGCATGCTGGGAAGTTAGTTTCACAATGCTATCTTGGTTGATAGACTATAATTGTTCACGATACTATACTATAATTGTTCATTAGCATCCTTTATGTTTTTAGGTTATTTACCAAAAAATGCATATGCTACAGTAGAATGAGCTCATGTTTTAATGAAGAGTCTATAAACAGGAAAAGGGCTTTGTAATTTGTAGGTTAAATGTCTCAGTGATTTATTTTAAAGTAGTAGTCAGCTGCCAAAAGTAGTTGAACCATAATATACAAGTTTGTTTTGTGCTCTGTGTGTGTTGAGGTTTTATGTAGCTTAGGCTGCCCTCAAACTTGCTTTCGTACCCAAGAATGATCTGCAGCTTGGGGTTGAATCAACCTCTTAATTCAAGGAGGCATAAGGGTGTGTGTGTGTGTGTGTGTGTGTGTGTGTGTGTATGTGTGCGTGCAAGTGCAGCCATGCATATTAAAGTCACAGGACAAGCTCAAGTGTTGGTTGTGCTACCTTCTGCCTTGGATGCACAGGTTTATGTAGTGCTGGGGTTTGAGCCCAGGGCTTTGTGCTTCATGGGCAAGGTCTCTACCAACTGAGCCACATACCCATTTCCCAAAAATTCTCTGTTTAGAACTTCATATAGGCCATTACCTGTTTTATTTTCTGTGCATGTTCCTCTCCCATTTGTATAAAGTTTCTGGGTATTTGAGCCATGAGGAAACTGAGCATTTTCACAGTAAATTTATGAGCATCTGAGTTTACCATGCAGGGTTACGATGCATTGCTTTGTAAGCATTCACTGTTTTATTTCCACAGGGCTCTCAACAACATTGAACCAGATGCTTGTGTTTGTAAGTCTGTATCTGCATAAGTACTGACTCTGGATGGAAAAGCTTGGAAGACCTTGGTCTCACCATTAGTCCTGAATTTGTGTGACCATAAGATAGCATTGAGTCCTGAAATGATTTAATGAGTGAGGATTTGCTTTCTCCATTAGAGCATTAAGTAAGCTACAACTATCAACATTGTAAACCAAATTGCCTTATTTTCCTTCCAAACTTCATATGTCTATCAGGTAATATAGGCTTGAAAATTGATATCCTGTGGTGCTAAAGTACAGTAGAAAGATGTGTATACATGTTTTATTTTAAATTGTACGAAGGGGAATTTAAAAAATATGTAACTGCTGTTTATACATCAGCTCCTTACTGCTTATTAATCTGTATTGTACCCATGATATCAGGAAGGAAGTAGAAGCTGGCCTTTTCTTGAGTAGCCACCACATGGCCCAGCATCTGTGCCAAACACAGTCGCTTCTAGTCTGGCCAGTGCCAAGAGACAACATAACATGGCAGGTAGGTGGTGTCATTGTCTTAGCTAAAAGAGCCACCTGCTTCGGATACAGCGGACATGTGCTGAGTGGATGCACCAGGGGGCAGCACTCCTCCATGATTTCCCGAGGGGGCCAAACTGACCAAGGTGCAGTTAGTTAATAGCATTGGGACGTCACTGTAATGGTGCTATTAACAGATGACACCATTGTATTTTAATGTGTTCTCTATCTCCTCAGCCACATATCTCACATATATATATATATATAGATATATATTTTGTCATCGTATCTCTATGGTGGGGGCAGACTATGCACTTACTGCAGTGCAACACTTGCACTTTACTCCCTTCAGCTTCTAAAGTAGAGCGAGCGCTGTGGCAATGCAGCTGCGTTTGCTCCGTGCTACAATCATGGCTTCTCATGTTACTTACCAAGTGGTATTTTTGGATTAGGAATCACAGCTGTAAAATTGATTTCAGTTCATCACACTTCTTCTACATGTTGCCCCTCAATTTTGCACACTATATTCTTGTATATTATTTGAAATAAAATGAAAAAAGTCTCTGATTTCTGACTGACTGGATTTATATATAATCTCTCAGAATAATTTGACCAGCAGATGGAAAAAAATTCTTGATAAAATTGACTTCTAGTGTTATAATTAGATTTCTGGTGGGATTTTTAAAATTAAAGAATGTTAATAATGGAGTAAAGACAATAGAAAAATAAGGACTTATATTTATAGAGAACCTTTGTAGAAAAGAAGTTTTTATTTTTTAACATGTCTTTGTTCCAAAGCCCAAGTGCCTATCTTTAATAAAATGACAAATATTAAGGAAACCCTGGCGTCTCTTAAAAATGTAGCAACATGTCATGAAGAACACTGAGCTTGAATCTGTTTCAGCTCTGCCAATCACTGGACTTGATTGTATCACTTTTAGGTGTGCACTCAGGAACTCCTCAGTGGTGTGACTCTACAGTGAGATTTGAAAATAACTACATTGGTTGGGGGAAAGCGGCCTGAGTTGATCTTGTCCCTTTAAAAGCAATAGAGAATCAAACACACACACACACACACACACACACACACACACACACACACACACACACACACACACACCACACCTAATTAGTAATTTTGCCTTGTTCAAAAATCTGAAAAAGGAAAAAATAGTATCCTTATGAAAAACATTAGGTGGGTACAACTGAAAGCTTGTGATTGATGTATTTTGACATGTAAAGTAGAAGGACTAAATCAGTAGGAAACAGAATCACTGGTTTTCAGTTGCTAGTTGTCGCCTTTAGATGCGTTTGTGGTAGAGAATGCACATCACTGAAGAGTAGACATAGCCTTCTGAAGCAGCTGAACCATAATGGGATAAACTGGTGCAAATTCTTTGCCTTCTCTGCTTCTCACTGACTGAACATAAGCTTCCAGGGCTCCCCTGAAATGCAAAGGGAACTGTCAAACAGAGCCACAGACCTGTACTTCAAACATGTATCTGGTTACAGTAGTTAGGCCAGTTGGGTGGTTCAACTATGGCCAACTCTGTTAACATTTCAGTACACACTGTTTCCCTGTGTCCATCCTGAAGGTATGTGAGAATGTGGGTGTAGTTTGTGCTTGTTTGTGGAATTCAGGGAGGGGAGAAAGCACCTTGGGAGTACACAGTAACTTAAGACTGGGAGCCCATAACTCTTAGTTAGGGCTCTTAGTTTTGGGCAGATAGGTAACAAGGAGTCTGAACTTAGGCACTGGTGGTGTATGATACCCATGTGGTTTCTTTGGTGATATTCTGAATTGCATTGGGGGCAGGATATGGTGGCAACAGACTAGTTTCTTCATCCCTAGGGCCATTTTCCCACAACAGAGCTGTAGGGGTGGCCGCAAAGTTTATAACTGGTCTCCATGGGAAAACTTGGGCATCACCAGCCAATAAAGCTAACAGAATGGTTTGTATTTCTTTGTAAAGAGGAATAAATTACCAGTTCTATTCACATCTTTGCTGTTCCCAAACACTGGAAATAAGTCACTGGTCACGTGTGTTCCTGTCTCTTCACCTGTTGGGAGCTGTCTCTGGTTCTGTTTACCTACTTACTTCTAGACATCTGAAGTAACAGTTTCATCTACCAAATGCTTGGGACTGTTCCATTGGTCTTTCCTTGTCCTTGAGTCCAGGGAACAAGTTCTGAAACTCATCCCTGTCTATATGTAGTCAGTCACACTATGTACTCAAATCATCCCACCTATTTCCACATTTGACATCCAGCAACTGTGCTTGGTTTTGAATAGTTTGCTATGTTTTTGTTCATACAGCTGCCTGCACTTGAGAGTAGCCATCCTGTTACTTACTGGCTCTCCAACATTACCAGCTATCCCTTGTTTGCAAGAGGATGACATGACACCCAAACAACCCAGCTCAGTGACAAAACACTGCTCAGCCTTTTATGCTGCTTAGGCTTCTTGACAGTTTGATGAAGCCTGAAAAAGACTGCAAATCACTGGTTTGTAGTTCACTTGCTCCTGGCTGAGCCCATTGCCCAGTCAGAGAAGAGATCAAGATATTTTTCCACTGTGAAACAGGATGTCTCTCCCAAGATAGGAACTGGCAGAGGGCCTGTTTGGTTTTGGCCCTCCCACATATCCAACAATTAAAAGAGATGCACTCTCCTTACCATCTGCACATCACCTCTTATCCTTGGGATGAATGCCCCTTCATGTGCTCTCCCTGGACAGTCTTTATCATTGAGGACTCAGCTTTAAAAACTTCCTTTGTTATAAAACCCTAACGTTAGGTAGCAAAAAATTACCTTGAAGTCACAAAGATGTATATAAAGGCCTGACTACACAGTGTCCAGCATTCTTAAATTCCTGGTTTCAAGGCTATGTTCAGGGTATGAGTGAGTCCTTTGGCTGTATGGAAGCATGGGCAGGCCATTAAGGCTGAGCAAGGGCGGTGCATACCATTTCTTCTCAGCACTTGGGAGGCAGAGGTAAATGGATCTCTTGAGTTTGAGGACAGCCTGGTCTAGAGAGTGAGTTCCAGGACAGCCAGGGTTACACAGAAAAACCCTGCCTCAAACAAAAAAGCCAGCAAGTGCCATTAATAAGCAGTTCTCAACTCCCAGAGAGTAGATGTCAGTGCTCTTAAAATACAGTACTTTGTGAGCCATTTCAGTTTATACAGAGCCAGCCCTTAGTGAGTGTTCTCCATAGAAAATGGTTTCTTTTCCAATTGTCACGCTTGTTCAGGCAGGTGCCCCAACTCCACAAATGTCCTTAGAGACTAGCTGAGAGATACGGTAGAGAAACCTTCAAGGACTCAACCATCGCTGAGGCAGTGGTGTGTGTATGTGTGTACTCACACATTCCCCAGTCTAAGACATGGAAAATCTTACAGACAAATGTTGCAGGGTGGACACATCTGTTCTGTTTACAAAATGTACTTTAAAAGCAACAGTCTCTTCCACTCAAAGGAATACGCCTATGTAAATCACACAGTGCATAGATGAAAGCTCAAAATAAGTTTGGTTAGCTTTTTCTTTTCTCCTGATATTCATCAAAAACACCATCAGAACTACAGTAAGAAAACAGATTAAGTTGCCCTCCCACATAAATCAGGGTAAGGTTTTCAAGCACTTATTAAATTACTTCATTTGCTTCAGCAAAACATTAGCTTTCTTGGAAGTTGGGCCAACCATTATGTAAGAGGCTTGTTTATAACTAAATAAGACTGCTGAAGTTATCCTCAGTGAGGAAAAGCAATGAGTATAAGTACTGAAGACTGGCTTGTGTTAATAGGCTATGCTGTTAAGTGACACACCAAGTAAATGTTTTATAAACAGCAACTTTTTGTCAGACATTAAAATTCATTGTGATTAGTACTGAAATCCTAAGTGATCTCTTGTACCTGTACCCCCAAAGGCAGTTAGGCCCCAGTTTTCCCCTGGTTTTGCAGTTCCATATATACCTATCTCACACACTTAGCTCCTAGAACTGGCATCTACTGGCAGTGATAAACACCAGGAGGCACCTAACGTTGTCTCCTATAGCAGACATTTTAAGACTTAGAAGCTGGGTAATGGTGGCTCAAACCTTTAATCTCAGCACTCAGGAGGCAGAGGTAGGTAGATCTTTGTGAGTTATGGGCCAGCCTGGTCTACAGAGTTCCATGACAGCCAGAGCTACACAGAGAAACCCTGTCTCAATCCCCCCTTACCTCCCCCAAAAGACAGGACTTTTTAGAAATCTGGAAAAAGAAAGTCCTGGCCTGTGGGTTCTGGACAATGGCAAGAGGCCTAAGGGTTCACGGATTCAAATGGTACCAAATGTTTTCTGTAACAATAGATAAATATACCATAAAGTTGATGAAATCTAAACTGTTTGGACCTAAGTGTCCTCAAAGGGCTACAATAAGATTCATTGCTTCTGCCCTGCAAATTCTAAAACAGGTTTGTGGCAGATCTAACCATTTCTGCAGAGCCTGGGGAAATTTTGCATCCAAACTGATGTTTCATCTTTAGTGAAAGCATGGTCTCAGCCAGGTGACCACCTCTGTACCACAGCCTGCACGGCTGGTGCACCTGCCTGGTGGCTGAGCTGGCGCAGCCCCCCATTTCTCACATGGCCTGGGTCAGTGATTGCGCTGACTTTAAAGTCAACTTCACCGTTAGCTATCCAAGTTGCACAAAAACAGCTGATGAAGAGAAGGCAGCAGAGAACTCACCATTTGCAGTCCACTTTACTGTTGAACACTTTGCCTTACAGCCTAACAGACGAACAGGAGGGAATTGGGGGTGGGGGTGGAATGAAGCTCCACCAAGGCCTGCTCCAGAAGCTTAAGAAATTCTGACATCAGACCAACACTTGTCTGGGGTCTGTCTACAGGGAGAGGAACATCCAGCAATGTTCTGGTAATCAGGATAAAACTTCGTTTTGAAGTAACGGGTAAGAAAGCATAACCTCTAAGGCAAAGGCCTTTTCTGACCAAGAGCCAGGCAACTGTGGCTGTGTAGTTTCTGTGGATCCCCAAGGCAGTCTGCACTTTCTGCTCAGGGATAAGAGGTGGCTTTTAAGAGCATAGCTTTCACTTGCTGCGCATGGACTTAGCAACAGCACTGTTTAAAAAACAGTTTAAAAAGCAGAAGAAAAAACATCTATGATCACTCATAGCAGGACACCCATGACAAAATCGAGGCCGGCTGCATCCTCTATTATCAAGTATATTGAAGGTGAGTGACTATTTGGGACTGAGAAAAAAGAAGTCAAAGATATTGCAAATCAACTAGTTAGGGGAGACTCAAGCCCCCTCACCACACCGGAAGCCTTTTCCAAAAGGATGTTTAAGAGGCCTGCCTGGGCACTGCCAGGAAGCTCACACAGCATTTCAGGGTCAGCTCCATAGTGAGGAAAGAGAAGCCTGGGCTCATGTTCCTTGTCCTGCACAGGTCTCCTTGGTACCACTCTGAGAAGAGGATGGGCTCCCAGCTTCTTTAGTGGAGTGCTTTACCTGAAAAGTGCACTATGCTCTACTGAGACCTCATGTACACACATAGCTGAAAATGACTTTCCCACATGTGCTTCAGACATTCATGGAGGATCAGACAGCCTAGCTGGCCTGCCATATACCCACAGACTAAACTGACAGGGTAGAGGATGGCTTCAGGGGTTAAAGAACAATGCTAGCTGGAATTAGAGGAGGAGTGATGATCTAGTTGTTTCCTAGCATGGTTGGGTAGGTGAGTGACCTTCCATGACGGGGTACAGGAAAGGAGGTGTGTGTGGGATATTAAATTAAAACATTTGGAAGTTGATATTTCTGTGATGTATTTGAGTTCAGATGTCTGAAAGCAAGTTTACTGGCCTAAGGCCCCAAGCAAGTAAGTCCCAGACCTGGGGTTTATGGGGGAGTGGGGGAGGCTACAAGAAAAGAAGGGTACATCTGGATCAGCTCAGCTGAGACAAGTTAGAAACAACATGTAGGCAAGGGCACTTAAGACATAGCTAAAAGGAAGAAATCAGCAGATGGGATGAATGGGGAAAGGAAGACCCAGCTTCGGTGCTCAGCCTCACAGGGCCATAAAGTGTGCTGAGTCAGCTGATGTGAAGGAAGTGCTGACCGATGCTGACAAGGCTGCGGGCAGGGAGGAGGTCTCTGATGGTGGTGCCTGAGGGCTTCAGAGGGCAGTGCTGATGGGAGAAACATGCTCAAGCTGCATGCACAAATGCACATCGCCATGCTTGCGACAAGATACACACGCGCGCGCTTACACACACACACACACACACACACACACACACACACACACACACACAGTGCACACAGACATGCATCCACAGACCACAGCCAGAGAATGTGGTATCTCAGTAGTAGGTTCTGAGTGGTCCTTTCCTGCCAAGAACTGTGACTGTTCAAATTTTACATCTGAGTGCCACCATCTCAGTGACTGCAGCACTGAAAAGGGCACATAAAATACAGAGCCCAAATGGACCCTTTCATAGTTGGAGATGTTTTAATGCTGGAGCTCATGCTCCACTGGGCATGGGCTTCACAAGGGGGTGTGAAGGTCTAGAAGAACCAGACAGTCCAATGCCTGCCAGTCCACTGCAGAGAGACCACCATACAGGACCTATCCAATGAGGGCCACCTGAGTATATGCAGCTGCCATGTCTGTGCCCACACAACCACTGCTCCTTTACCATGCCCCACATTTCCTACCCTCCAGTCCAGATGGTACCCCTGGAACACACAGCTTACCTGAGAAGGAGGAGCCTGTCCTTTTCAGATGGATGATCATCCAGCCACTGGGAGAAGCGAGCATGGGACCATTCTGCCCTCTTCAGAGTTGCAACACAGAGAAGAAAGTACATTCATTAGCAAATGGCAGCAAACAATGGCACATGATGTACTACTCCATGGCTCTCAGGGTGAACGGCACAGGCCTTCATGCAACTGTTTACCAAAAAACCTGGACATCTGCCCACTGACTGACATGGCTTTATGAACAGAAATGTCTTTTTGTGTTTTGTCTGATGGTGATGATGTCAGTGATTTTTGAGGTAGGGTCTCACTCTGTAGTTCAGGCTGGCAAGGAACTCACGCCAACCCTCAGCATGCCAAGGCTGAGATTACAGGAAAGGCCACCTTCTGCAGCTGAGACTTTTTTTTAAAGGGCTAATTCTGGACTCATGAGGTAAACTTGTCTGACTCCTGAGAAAACAGATGCGGGCCCTGGAGTTTTCTTCCATCTCTGTTCACTTTCAGAGAGACATCCAAGACTAAATAAAGCAGGAAGGAGGTTAGCCAGTTTCCCACTCAGTGAGGATGCTTGTTTACGATGGGACTTGGGAAGATTCCATGAAGGTTCTACCCTCACTTCATCACCTGGAAGGGGGATTTCAGCTCAGCCGGTGCTCTTGTGAACAGGAACTGAATGACGATGCTGAACGGAATGACATCCCCCAGCGCTGGGCTCTCTGCCACATGCTCACTTGTCTGGAAGAGCAGGGGTCTAGAAGGAAAAGAAGAAGGTAGTTCCTGTGGTTCAGCACTGGAAGCATGCTCTATAGGGAGTCACTCTGCTGAAATATTCTTCCTACATCTCTTTGGAGGGGGAGAGGGTTTTGAGACTGGGTTTCTTTATGAACCCTGGCTGTCCTGGAACTCACTCGTAGACCAGACTGGAAATCAGAGATCCACCTGCCTCTGCCTCCCAAGTGCTGGGATCATAGGCACATGCCATCACAGCCAGCCCTGGATTATGTTTCTGAAGCCCCATTTTTAAACCCCCTGTCAGCCCTAGGACACACGTGCTCATAATTTGGCAGGCTCATTCACTTCAAGCTCTTTTCTTAACACTTACCACCCATTATTGGGTCTGAATTCCTTCTTAGGGCCATTTTGTGAACAGGCTGAATTAACTGAAGCTCAAATTGAAGCCTTTAAGTTGGAGTAAAAGTAGTAGATTTTTAACCTTGACTGACCCTTGTAGCTCCCACCTTATGTAAAACCCTTTAGTCTGTAATCTAACACACATGAACTCAGTTTTCTAAATAGAACCTGAGTCCTTAATGCAAAGTCATCACTTTGCTGATTAGTCCAACAACTTATGCCGGCTCCCTTCAGCTGTGATTCTTACCATCACACACAATTTCATAGGAGTGTTGTGAAGGGAAATCTACTCTGCTACCAAAGCCTGACCACTTGGTGCCAAAATCAGGGCAGGAATGGTGTACAGCTGCCTTCAGCTCTGAGTTCTAATGGACACTAGCTAGTAAGCTGATGGCTGGCTGTAGAGGCTCACCTGGTACAGCTAGCAGCAGCCACACTTCTCGGCAGTCCAGATGATTGATAAGAGCCATGGAACACAACCCTGTATTCTGGTCTCTTTCTTCAGCCATCAACTATGCCAATGTACGAAGGCAGGCAGGCAGGCCTCTGTAATAGCCCAATCCCTTCCTTCCTCTCACCAATGAGCATTTATTCTAAGAGCCAAGAGACACTTGATTCTTGTTGTAAATAAAATACTAGGAAAAAGTCTTTACAGAAATTATCCTACAAATACAACCTACCCTCCTGGCAATGCTTTCATATCTAAAGTGCCTATGATGGGTAATTTGGGTCACTGACTAAGGTAGAATGAGCAGTGAAAGAGATCTCAGTGAACTCTTCTGAACTGGGGTGGCCTGTGGGCATGCCTGTGAGACAGTTTCTGGGATTACTTGATGAGGGAGACGTTTCACAGGAGGGGCCCAGAGGGGCTGCTGAGCATCTGCATGTGGCACCGACTCACCGTTCACCAGCTTTGACTGTGGTGTGATGTGACCACTACCAGTCCCTGCAGTGGCAGAGAATAAACTGGAAATAAACCAAATCCTCCTCTCTTCAGTTGCGTTTGTCCTGGTATCTTATCAAAGTGAAGAGTTTCAAAACTAAGACACTACCTTACCAAATAACATGGTTTTGTTATTGTTTTCTTTAGGTATTGGGAAACAAGGTTCATTTTTATCATCTGTGACCAGAAAGCCAGAAACCTCCAAATTCTTTCTGTGGCCACACTGAGAATTTGCTACATTGCTTTGAAAATGTTCAAAGCCCAAATCATTTCATTGTTCCATGCTGAAGAGCCTCAGGCCATGAGTGTAATGAAGCATGAAGAAGCTGCTGGGGTAGTTTTCATTTTGGCTGGAGGTATCTGTTTTTGACTGTGTGGATGACACGTCTCCACTACTAGGTCAAAGCTGCCAGTTTCAGGAAGAAAAGCATTGCAGTCATCAATGAAACAGTTAATGCTTAAGCACTTACTTTTAGACACGAGGTCAGTAAGAGTTATCAGCCTTCACTATTCCTGCCCCAAAGTCACACCTAATGAACTACTCAAAGGTGGGAATATCCCAATGAAAACTTCAGTCTTAGAAACAAGACTGGTTGACTCATACAAAAACTATACTAGAAAGCTACTGACGGTCTCACTTAAGGCTACAACATTCCTCCCTGATACTGGCACAGCATCAGAAGCGCTGTCTGCACCCACTTTAAAGTTATGAAGACAGAACAAGAAGCTGTCATCCAGTTTTCCTACCAGTCTAAGGACAAGCGCACTCTTTACCTCGAAGGAGAGTTTGGGCACCATAGGGCTGGACTCTGGAGCCAAGTAGAAACAAAGGAAGCATCATCGCTCACAGCTGCCAGTGTTCAGGTCTGAGTGGCAGCTGTGCTCCTCCTGATCACAGTGGTCCCTAATCAGAGACACTAGCCAATGACAGCCTACCTGCAAAACTCAGTTAGCTCACAAAAATCTGTGCCATGTTCAACTTGGCTTATGTCTCCAGAGCAATCTGCCTAGCCAAAAATCTCACTCAGAATCCAGACAAGGAGATACTAGCCTTGTGAACTTCTAGCGAAGCCATTCTCAATCTGTGGGTCTCGACCCCTTTGTGTGCTGAATGTTCCTTTCAAAGGGCCCACATATCAGAATTCTGCACAACAGATATTTACATTACTATTCATAACAGTAGCAGAATTACAGTTATCAAGTAGCAATGAAAGCCATTTATGGTTGGGGGGTCGCCATTCCATGAGGAATCATATTAAAGGGTCACAAACATTAGAAAGGTTGAAAACTATTGTTCCACAGTTTTCTAGAGCTAAACTTACTTGCCTGAACATAGGAACAAACAGTAGCTCCACCCATCCCAGAGGAGAGCATCAGATTCCTCGGAGCTGGAGTTATAGGTGGTTGTGAGCCATCTCAAGATGGTGCTGGGAGTTGAATTTATGTCCTTGGATGATTCATAATCATTCCTAACCACTGAGTCTCCAACTCCAAATTCTAGGTTTTTGTTCACTACTTCTATAAAAATATTATTTCATTATTAAATATAATTTGGATTTTTAAAACTTTCATTTTAAATTGGCAAAGATCTATGCTAAATATTCCAAAAGTTATTCTATTTAGGGATAACTATTTTAAATTCAAACACTTAAAAAAAATTCAGTAAACAAGTTGGGTGGTGGTGGCATTCACCTTAATCCTAGCCAGTACTCAGGAGGCAGGGGCAGAGGGATCTCTGTGAGTTTGAGGCCAGCCTGGTCTACCAAGAGTTCCAGAACAGCCAGGGCTACACAGAGAAACCCTGTCTCAAAAGACAAACTATAACAATAACAACAACAACAAAAGCCAATAAACTATTCTTACCAAAGAAATGGAGAAGAATTTTAACTTGTTCCAATCAATTTGATTATTATGTTTCTACTAATGCTTAGAATGTTAAGACACAGATTTAAAGGCTCTGAAAGCTTTGTGACAGATTTCAGCCTCTGATTACTTTAAGGTAACTCTGACCTCATTTACTCTTATCAGGGACAGCCAAAACTTTGGGTTAATTCTTTTAATCCAGTGTGTGTGTGTGTGTGTGTGTACATACATAATATACACACATACATACATACATATAAAACCCAGTCTCTAACAACAACCACCATGGTATTTCATACTTAAGAATTCTGTGTTCCACGGACTAAGACCCTACCTTATTCAGTAAAAATGCTTGCCATGTAATCATGATGGTTTTAGTTCAGATCCCCAAAACATGTGGAAATGCCTGGCATGGTGGTACATGCCTATCATCCTAGTTCTGGCAAGGCTGAAGCTGGTGGTGCATCCTGGAGCAAGCTGGCTAGACTAGTCAGATCTGTGAGGCCTGGGTTGGGTAAGACCTTATCTCAAAACATAATGTGGAGAGAAACTGAAGACAGAACTCAACATCCACCTCTGGACTCCACACAGATGTATAAAATGCAAGCTCGCAAATGCATGAGTACGCACAATTTACACATTGTCTTAGCTTTTTTATTGCTGTGATAAAACACCAGGACCAAGGCAACAGAGAGAAGATTTTATGTGGGGCTCACAGTTTTAGAGGGTCAGAGTTCACGCCCTCATGTTAGGAAGCACTGCAGCAGGCAGGTAGACATGGCCTGGAGCAGGACCTAAGAGCTCACATCCCGAGACACAGCATGAGGCACAGAGAGCCTACTGGAATGGCATGACCCTTTGATACCTCAGAGCCTACCCCCATGACACATCTCCTCCAACAAGGCCACACCCCATAATCCTTCCCAAACAGTTCCACCAACTGGGGACCAAAAATATATGAACCTATGTGAGTCATTCTCATTCAAATCACCACACACATGCATACACACATGCAAAAATGTCCATGTTTCTTGATTAAATTAGTATTTTAAGTTATCCTATAATATAATTGGCAGAATTTCAAAACTTAAAATATTTGCATTCTATCAACAAAAAGCAAACAGACACTGTTATACAGTGGCTCCTGTTGCAGTCTTATTTCTCATTCTGATGATGACCTAAGATTTGGTTATTCCTAGAAGGCCATAAAATTCCAATACTGTGTAAGTCTGAGCTCTCTTTCCCAGCCCTGTCACCAAAAATACTTGTATAGAGAAAAGACAATCTGGATAAAAGAGAAATTAAAGGAATGCTATATTGTTATCTGATTTCATCTGTAGTATAAATCTTTCAAACTGAATTTGGTACAATACTGAGATAATGGGAAATATCAAAGTATTACCCAAAACAAAACTGATCAAAAAGGAAATCTATATTCAAAAGGAAGTAGGTCATTTTTAATAACACAAACATCAATTAAGTCATCTTATCGGATACAAATAACCTCAGATGGGGTAACACCTAGCTGGGTAAAATACTCTCTTCTCTTATCAACTGCCTTTAACTCCTTCGGACATACTGTGTTTTGATTATGCTGGCATTAGGTGTAATAGTCCTATTTACATGTCACATATATGCAGATACACAGGCTGAGAAACCTTAGGCCTGGGTCATGGCAGCTGAAGAGCTGGTGATGTGAACGGTTTAGTATTTACCGCTCCTGGTGACTGCATTCCTGCCTATTCAGTCTCATCGTAGGGATGAACAAAAGTCTCTAACGCACTGGAACACAAAGCAGTATTTGGCCTTCACAT